TTTGTGGAGCCCTGCTGCCCCCTGCAGGACGGCCCCGGAACCGCACCCCCCACCCCGCCGCCCCAGGACCTGACACCTCAAGGGCCCCACCTCGCCCTCACACTGACCCATGCCGAGCCATCCTGTGACGTCCCAGGGACCCCACGCACCCCGACACAGCCAGGGAGGGGCTCACGGATCCGCCTTTTGTAGTTGAGGCTCCTTGACTGTCCCGGCCCAGACCTGCGGCCCCTCCCTTGGTGCTGGGCCCGCCCCGGGGCCCTGAACTCGCCCCTGCCTGATGGGACATTTTGACATCTTAACTCTGAGCTGTTCAGGGTCCCCCTCAGCTCCCAGCGGAGGGCGTCACCTGAGCCGGCCTCCAATAGGGCTAAGACCCGGGACTGGGGTGTGCCCGGCCAGTCCCAGCCCTATCTCCACCTGACGGTCGCACCTTGTCAGACCCCCAGTCCCTGCCAGCTCTCCCGGGGGTGTCATCGCCCCAGAGCCGCCCCTCTGTGGAAGCCCTTCTCCAGCGCCAGCAAGCACCGGGCAGCTTCTGTATGCATTTGGACAGACTGGTAAGAGTCTTGGAACCCTCAGAGGCCTTTTCAGGCTGTAATGATCTTTCCATGCCAGTGGTTGTGGGGCAAGCCCGCAGCCTGGGCAAGGAAGGGAGGCCAGGGGGAGCGAATCTTTACTCACTTTTCTCTCTGGGCTCTCCGGCGTCTTCCTCTCGTAGCTATCGGCTGTCCATTCTTTCCGTGTGACGCCACCCTTAGAGCCTCGGGCTCAGGCTCAGGTGTGCACGCTCACACACGCCCACACCACACTCCAGGTGTGTACAATCAGGCATGCTGCCTCGAGGCCACGCTCCCACGTGCCTTCTGCATTAGCACAATCGAGGCTGCAGGTGATAGGACCTGAGGCCAGAGGCGTAAAAGCCTGACAAATCCTCATGGGTTTGAGGAGCAAAGCTAAACCAGGGCTTGGGCTTGAGGAGCAAAGCTAAACCAGGCCTGCCCTCAGGTGGGGGACATTCAGCCCTCGGCCTCCCCATGTCCCCTTCCCAGTCAAGGACTGAGGAACAGTCTCCTTCCTCCGAGGGTTTAAAACCTTTTTGCTTTTCCACTGTGCCCAGCAAGTAAAAACCGCAGTAATCGCAGAAACTGCCTCCTTCATTGGCAAGTGAGGATGCCCAAGGGCACACAGGTGGACCACATGGGCCCAGGGAACAGACTTTGCTGCTGGGCTCCCAGGGGGCCTGTGGTTAGCCAGGAGGGGGCTTCGGTAACTAAGATGCCCTCTCAGGTTGGGAAATGGCAGCAGGTGGGAACTTTCCTGCAGCAGCTGCTACATCGTTGACCTGGAAGTTCTTTCCAGTCTTCCAGGTGAAAAGCCTGTAGGCCACGGACTTAGCCACTTTCCCACAGAAAGGAATGGCCACAGCCCTGACCAGGACGCCCAGACAGCGAGCGGAGTGGGGTTCCGCAGCAGCAGCACCCAGCCCAGGCTTCTCCGGGATAAAGAACTTTTATTCTTCAGGCCTCATCTCTCCCCTCCTTCAGGTCAGAGAACAAACAGGGAGGCAGGCTGGGTGGAGACGAGAGCAGAGGGGGAGTCCCTGAGGCCAGGGCCGGCACCAGGCTGGGTCAGCCTTGGTGAGGAGGCTGTTCAGCTCCTTTAAGAGCCGCAGGTTGGACTGGGGACCCGGGCTGGGCTGGCAGAAGCAGGGCCTCCCGATTCGGCCGGTGACCTTTCTGCTGGCACTAAGGGAGGTCTGGCCCAGCTGCCAGGGAGGTGGGAGGGGCCCAGGCCTGCCACTTCCAGTAAAAGGCGGGTGTTTGGACACAGCCAGATGCCTCAGCAGCCTTGCTGCTATCAAGAACGCTAAGATTAAGGCACTTGTTCTTCGTTTCCCCACGTTTCCTGCCGACTTGAGAGTTGCGACTCAAGTGTGAGTGGACTCTAAGGCAGGAAAAACACTGTTTTTAGGTCTTTCCCTCCACACCCCCCGGCACTGAAACCCCTGCTTCTCCTCCCCACGAGGCGGGGGGGCCAGGCCGGATCTCCAGGGCTGACGGCCACCGAGTTAACCCTCCACTCTGAGCTATGGTTTCTCTGGTATCAGTTTCACAAAGATTGGGGTTTGGTTGCAAAGTTACTGGAGTGTTAGTAAAACCCCTTGGGCCTGGCAAGCTTCTCCAGGACTGTGCAGACGGCCCTCCACCCGCGGGCCGGGCCGCCCTTCCTCTGTCTGGGCCTCGCCGGAGCTGGGCCTGCTGGTGCCAAGCTGCTCGAGTTAACATTTGTGTCAGTGTTTCCATTATAAAACGCCTTTTTCCCCTTCAAGAATATATGACCCAACTGCTAAATTACCCTCAAGGCTGCAGGCTGGCAGGCATGGCGTTTTTATTTCCTCTGCACGGAGGGGGCTGAGGACCCGTTGGGACGGCACAGGTCTTCCCCGTCCAGGCCCCCAGGATCTTCCTCCCGAGCAGGACCAACACGGGCCATGAAGGGCCACCCTCTGCACCGCTCATCTCCTCCAGGGGAGGGACTGGCGCTTCAGCCAGGGACCATCAGCCTCCGAGAAAGGTTACTCGGGGTCAGCAGCTCAGAGAAAGCCTAAGAAACCTGCGGGGCGGAGCCCAGCCCCAACACCACAACCCTTGTCGGAGGAAAAACTGCTACTCTAAAGGGCTGACAATCTGACAAAACACCGATGGCCCAGGGACCAAGGAAGGGGGCTGGAGGGCATCCAGTCACGGCTCACGCCAACGCAATGCATTTGCCCATTTCTCAAGACCCTGAGTGGCACTTCTCACAATGCAGGAATCAACAGTACAGCAGTTTTACAATGTAGGAAAATTTAATACATACTATATAAACAACATTATTTACATCAGAAATCACTAGGACAGTGGCATTTTTCACAAATATAAATTAATTACTGTTTAGCCAACAGGTTTTTAAAAGTCCACAATTTTACAATAAAGAAAAACCATCTGTCCCAAACGAGTGGGTGCAGATGGACTAAAGCAGCCTGGACCCTTGGCCTGGCTCTCCCGGCCCGACTTGCCCGCCCTCAGCATCCAGAAGACCGCCGGGCGGGGGCTGGGCCCGGGCCACTGCTCCTGCTGACGAGTGGGTTTTGGTCTGTAGGGTTTCAGTGTACTGTGTCAACTTGTAACGCGCACCGCGTCCTGACGCAACTGTCAGACGCCAGCTAGAGGGGCGGGTGCGGGAACGTTCTGGTCTGCCGAAGGGCTCAAGGAATGACTGGCAGGAGAGGGGCCCGAGGGCGGGCTCCTCCAGGGAGCCCGGGGCGTCCCCGGCCCTCTGCTAGGGCCGTGGCTGACCAGAGCAATGCTTGTCATGCTCGGGCTTTAGGGGATGTTCACGGCCCTCCTCCTCCACCCTGCTGTCTCTACCCAGTACATCCCATTTTCCAAAGCGAGTTTCTGGGAAACACCCGCCGACGGCCTGGGCCGCCTCTCCTTCCCCGCGTGAGCGCGTCCACCTGTGCCAGCTCCCGGCCGTGCCCTAAGCACGGTATTCACACTGATTTCGCATCAGTGAGGAAGTGCCTCCTTTCCCCCCACCCATTCTTCCAACACTTCAGCATCTCAAAGGGATGCTTCTATGGGGATACTGTCGTTTATAATCAATTTAACACTGATCTGGCGGATACTGCCTTTTGCTACATCATATGGCACTCAAAGTCCTGAATGTGAACAAAAGGAAGTTGCTTTTTCCTCATGATGAGACATCTTTGGGAATAACTCACACCTCCCACCAACTTCAGAGAAAAAAAACCCTGAATATGCAACACGGAGGGCAGCGAAGAATCCTCCTGCTGTCTCCCCTCCCAGGGGACACGTCCTGGCTCCCTCAGTCCCACCTCGGATGGCTCAAGGACCCAGGAAGCCAAGCTGACCTAGCCCCCTCGGGCTGGGGCAAGATACACATGGGGCAGCCTGTGTACTTTCAGCAAGAAGCTACACTTGAGGTGGTAAAACCCAGTCGTGACTTCCCGCCTGTCCCAAGCCTGAGCAGTGTATCCTCAGCGAGCGCGCCCTGGCTGGGGCCCTCTGGGCTCTGCTCCCTGATGAACAGCCCCAGGTGCCATAAGGAGATGAACAAGGGGCTAAGGGTGGGCCCAGCCCCCAAACAACACACCACGAGGACCCAGAGGGCAGGCAGGCCACCCAGGAGTCTCAGTAAAGGCATGAGTGGTGCTCCCCAGGGTCCAGCCTCGCGACGACGGAGAGCTCACGAGTTCCCCACTGCTGACTGCCAGGAGCCGGACCCTGCGTCTGCCCGATGACAGCGTGCCCCACCTGAGCCTGGACTCCCTGCAAGCACACTGTAGGCACACTGTGAGTCAAGTCAGTGAGCCAGACTGCATCTAGAAAGGCCTTTGGATATGCTAACAATACTGACAAGCGATACTTAAAAGGAATCAAATGGAAGGTCCCAAAATCAGTCCAATGAGAAGAATCTTATGTGGATACAACCGACTTCAGCCTCCCAGTCCTACCCAGTGTGACCCTGCTCTTCACCGCTCAGTCACCTGTCCTGGGATGCTCCCTGTTTTGGAAAAATTTTAACTTACATGTATGCTTGATGTTACTCTAAGAGAAACGGAGTTTAATTCTAACGCTTTCCAACTGGCAGTGGATACCTGTTCGCCATGGTGACTTCGCTCACCCACCCACCCACCATGTTGAGTAAGAGGAGAGGGACTGCCCTGTAATCTACTTCTTCAAGCTGTGCAACAGGAACTAAAATGCAGTGGACTGCAACACTGACCCCATGCCCCTGGCACCCCTCTCTGGGAAGCTGCCGAGCATGCCCCTTCCTGGGACACCTGACCACCTGCACTGACCCCGCCCGCCCAGTTGTGCCTGCCCCTCCCTCCTCTCCAGGCCTCCTGGTTTCACGTCACATCACAGGGACCATCCACCAGGGACTCCAGTTCCCTGGCCACACTCCCCACCCTCCCCAGCCCGCCCCACTCCCCTCCATGGAAGCCCACCTGCCTCACTCACAGCACTCAGGTCAGGTGCACGGGCCCACTTCCCAAATGCAGAAGACCCACTCAGAAGACTCACCCTTTGAAATGTACAGAGAGCATGGGGAGACCTGGTGTTGGCAGGAAGAAGCTGCTGTGGGAGCTGTTTCCCTCTCTGTAACCCCCCACCCCCTGGCACCACAGAGGCCACATAATGAGGCCCGACTGTCACTTTTCCCAAGAACATGTTTGAGGGGTTTCTGCCCCCTTCCAAGTCCTATGATGAGACCCCACCACTCAACCCCATGCCCTGCTCCCCCTCGGCAGCATTTGTCACAGCAGAGGCCGCGTGAGGCGCTGTCCAGCTGTCCTGCAGCCTGCACACACACATGTGCACAGGCACACATGCCTCTCCACCCCATGCCAGGTCCCAGGTCTACTGACCCGGCCAGAGAACATTCACAGCGCAAAGATCCTTCCTCCTTCAGCAGGGACGCAGCCCAGGAAGTGGGTACACAAAAACCACCTCTTTCTTCTAGCACCCGTTCAGAGGGAGGCCAGAACCAAGCTGGAATAGGACAAGGTGCCAAGTGCAGGAGTGGTGACCCTGCCCAACGGACCGGACCACAGGCCCTGCTCCGCGAAGTGCCCCTCAGGCAGCGAGCCGCCGTCGCATGTCCAGAAACTCCACTCACTGGTCCAGATGACTGGCTACTGTTGGATCAGACCAAAAATATCCAGGTGCTTAGTGACTCTTGCTCTCCCCTTCTTTTCAAGCTGTCTTTTATGTTTTTCGAACATTCCAGTTATAATCTGGGTTGTTTTTCTGTTCTAGGGATCTCTCCAAAGGAGACCGATGATCCAGGGGTGACTTGGAATCATGAGGCGATTTCTGAGACGGGGGTGAGCGAGGATCTGAGACAGCAGGGTGTAAGGGGGGCAGAGGCTGTTTATACTCCCCCAATTTGTCTGTGTGGAAAGAACGGTAATGGTCTGAAGGTCCCTGGCCATGGTAGCCCATAGGGGGACGGTGATCAGACATTCGTCGGAAATCCTGCTGGTGGTAATTTTGAGGCCGGAAGTCATCGGATCGCCTCCGCTTAGAGTCATGGTGGTGCCTGGAAGAGAAAGGCTGGGGGTGAGCGAGAGCCCAAAGCCAGTCCCGCCCTTCTTCCTGAGCCCACTGGGCTTCCTCAAGCATGCAGGGTGAAAGCTTGTGTCGTGAGAAAAAATAAAACTAAAGATGACAAAAGGCTACTTTATATTTGTTGGCAAGACACATCCTATAAGCGGACCTGAGCCTCCTCAGGCTCTGTGACGAGACAACTGCACACGGGATCCGCCAATGGCACTGCTGGGTCACGCTCCCTATAGGAAAACTGGCAAGAACTGCTAATGTTTCCAGACTCTTTGACCCAGTCCAGGGGAAAAAGAGGAACAAAAATGATTTTGTAACAGCACAAGTTGCAATTAACTAAAATATTCAACAGTAAGTGAAGGAGTAATTAAATTGTTTTTAAAATGGTGAAGAATATTTAAATTCTTAGTCAGAACCACAGTACCCTGCTTGTTCAACTATGAAGAGAACTGGGCGTGTCAATGATAAGATGACAGTCAAGCCAGTTCAAAAATGGGAGTGAACAGACATTTCTCAAAAAAAATGCACAATGGCTACAGAGTGCTGAAAAATGCTTCATGTCTTTAATAATTAGGGAACTACAAATCAAAACAATGATGTGATACCACTTAGTACCTAGGATGGCTACATATACATATATTTTTAAAAGACAACAGAAAATATATTGCAAAGATGTGGAAAAACTGCAATTCTTGCGCATTGCTGGTTAAGACTGTAACAAGGTCCAGGTGCTATGGAAAACAGCTTGATGGCTCTGAAAAAAGTAAAACTGAACAACCATATGACTAAGCTAAGTACACACCCAAAATAAGTGAAGACAAGTATTCACACAAACACTTGCATGCCCATTTTCACAGCAGCACTATTCTTTTTATTTATTTATTCTTTTTTTTTATTTTTGTGGGACCCTCGCCAGCAGCCGAGGAACGTACCAGCGCTGCAGAGGCTGCGGGCAGCCTCGCAGCCCAGCGCTCAACCGCTGCGCCATCAGGGGAGGCCCTACAACAGCACTATTCACTAAAAGACCGAAACAATTCAAATATCCTAGAATGTAGCACATAGATACAACAGTATATTATTCAGCCATGAGAAGAAATGAAGTACAGTCCTGGATCATGTGGTGACAGGAATCTGTTCTGAGAAATGCATCCTTAGGTGACTCTGTCCTTGTGTGAATGTCATAGAGTAACACAAACCAGGATGGTGCTGCCCACTACACACCTAGGCTACATGGGACCACCATCACATACATAGCCCACCCTTCACCCTGGTGTGACGCATGACTGTGCTGAGATAGGCCACAACATGGATAAACCTCTAAAACATGCTAAGTGTTCAGAGAAGCCAGGAAACTCCTCCTGCACCAGTGAAATGAAACTGCAAATGGCTCCCTAGGGCCCAGAGAATAAAAGGATAAACCTGTAACATGAGATTCAAGGCTCCCCCCTATCTCACACTATCCAACCTGTTAACTATCCAAGCATTCCTCCTGGGCCTGCCCTGGACTTGGGCCTCAGCTAATCCTTTTCTCTCTGCTCAGTGGACTCTTCTGGGCCCAAGTCAGTCACAAGCCTTCCCTCTTCCCACAAGCCTTTCTTTCCTCAGCCACAGGAAACACTCAAACATGCCTCCTTTTAGCTACCTACGCAGTACCGTGCCAGCCCTCCACCGTACTTCCAGGCCCCAGTGTAAAGCGAATGTGACGCTGCTTATTTCCCCTATAGAAGAACAGTTCAGCCAGCGAGCCACTGCTGCATGTCCAGAAACTCCAATCCATTATTATGATACCTGTCATAATAATCTCTGTGGCCCCGGTGGTCTCGGTCACTGCTATACTGGTCATAAGGTCTCTTTCTGGACAGGTTGTTGGGCCGGTAGCTCCCAGAACGGTGGGTGTCCATGTGTCGCCGATCCCCATAATGGTGGTCCTTGTACCAGTGCTGATCATACTGGTGGTGCCTGTCACTAGCCCACGGTGGGTTGTTGCTGCCTCCACCATAGTTGAACTTCCTTTCCCTCTGCCAGTCTCCTCGATCTACAGAAAAAGAAAGTGATTTCATGACTACAAAAATTGGTTGGATTTCACTTCCACAGAAGTTTAAATGGAATGGCTGAGCCAGACTATAAATAGACAATTAATTTCCTTCTCCTTGGCCTCTTTACTGCTGGTTAACATAATGAGTCTTGACATTCTTTCCTCCCAATTTTAAGGCAAAAGAAAATTCACCATCCTTCCCTTTCTAAAGCCTTAAGAACTACGATTTTTCACTTTCCACACCTGTTTTTCCCTTCAATATGGGGCAGATTCTTAATACGAGATTTGACCTTTCCCAAAAAAAGCAAACCAAAACAAAAAAAAGTACATCCAAACATTAATTTGGAAAATGGCACTGCTAGATTTCACAGCTGCAGGTAATGCTTCTGTTTCCACATCTCAAGTTTATTTACCTCCTGGTGCCATAAGCTGTGCCTGGTCTCTGAAAATCTTTCTAGACTATACTTACTGATTATCATTTCCCAGTTCACATCTGGGCCTCCCCTATATGAAGCACCTTTTCTCACTCTGGACCTACATCGACACTCCAACAGGGCCCAACCAAAACGTTTTAGCTTTGTCATCCTTCCTTCTCCCCTGAGGAAAAGAGCTGCACTTATTTCAATCAGGAAGGTGAAAACACAGAAATCCAGAAATGGAGCACAGAGTGAGCTGAACTGCAGACTTAGAACCTGTGCATGTGACCATCCTTGGAAATAGGATCTCTGTAGATGCAATTAAGTTAGGATTTCATGATGATATCATCATTTAGGTCAGGCCCTATACCCAATGACAGATATTCCTTGAAGAGAAGGCAGAGGGCGCCTAGAGGTGCAGAGAGGAAGGCCACGTGGAGACAGAAGAGAGACTGGGGCCATGTGGCTGTGTTCAGGAACACAAATGCTGGCTGCAGGAGAGACCTGGAACAGATTTTCCTTCAGCCTCTCTTGAAGGAACCAACCCTGTCGACACCAAGATGTCAGAACTGTAAGGAATCGATTCCTGTTGTGCTGTGCAACCCAACTGGTGGTTCTTTGTTATAGGCAGCCTAGGAAATGAACAGACTTAACCAGGGGAGCTATGTGGCCTCCTGGGAAATCCATATTCTATATGCAATTATGTTAAGGCCAACCATAATACTACCAAATAAATGTCTCCATCCATTTTGTTGGCACTCTAGCATTTTCCCATAGGCAAAAAGTAGTGCCATCAAGGAACCTGTGCAGTTCAGATGTTTATACCGCTGAAACAACACAAGTCAGCCAGGGACTGATCCAGGAGACAAATGAGTGGAAACTTGGGCCTATTCAAACTAAGGATCACCGATCAATGATAGCCTGAACGGATCATTTGAAAATGGCCTCAAACCAAACGGAAAGAGAGATTTCAGAGGATCCATGGTGAGGTGGAGAAGCTGAAATTCAAGCCAAGTCACTTATTTCAGAGAAACCCAACAGCGCTATCCATTTGGTTTCGTTCTTCATGAGGCAGGTCACCAGTTAGGAAATACTGAGAAAGGAGACGAGCGAGGAATACAACGTTTAAACAGAAGACTAGAGTTACCTTACAAGTGGGGTTCTTTCAAAGGATCAAACAATAAGTGTCATCATATGAATAACAAACCAGTCTGATACCAGGAAAAACTCAGTACAACCAACACAACTGGCTCTAAGACCATGGAAACATTTTCCCATCACCTTGTGCAGTCATTATCTTTTGCCCCCCCCTCAATAAAATGCTGCTCAATTAATGCTGAAATACTTAGATTTTTTTTAAGAAGACATGGAACTTCTGCTTCCAGGTAGTTTAGAGTAGCCTGTAGCAGAAGATAAGAAAGGCCAGATAAAATATAATCTGTTTAAAGACTTCAAAGAGTAGCCAAAACAATCAGATCTAAAAGGGGTAAGATCCCCAAGAGCAGAAAACCTCAAGGAAAGTAAAAGTTACTTCTGCAGCCAGTGGGAAGATCTACAGCTATGAGGCTGAATATCCAGGCTTTCCCCAGGAGAGCAGAGCTACTAGGGGAACAGGGCCAACAGCAGAGTCTCTGCTCTTCCTGGGCTACAGGTGCATTAAGACATCAAACACATGGCCAATCTACCCTTAGGATACTTGCCAGAAGGAGCAGAAGGCTAAAAAAGCTAAGCTGATAGCCTTCAAAAAAGCAGAGCAGTATGGAGCAACCTCATGGTGCGGAGGAAACCAAAACTGGTGCAGAAGACCTGCTGAGGAGAGGGTCTGAGAATACCACGGCTCTCTGTAGGGCACTATGCAGAGCTAAGCCCCAGAAGAGGATGGCCAGAGGTGGCTAAATTAAAGCACTTCCCACTCCATGCGCACGGAGGAGGGAAAGGTGAATCATCTGAGGGAAGGTACCACCACCTGGAGCTTCTACAGTTTATAAAAACACATTTACCCCCATTTACTCAAAAATAATTAGGCACACCCAGAGACAAGACTGAAAGTCAAGAGAAAAAATGCATACACCAGAAAATGACTCACAGTAACTCAGACTATGTTAGCAGGAAAGGACTAAGTAACCATAATTTTTATGTTCAAAAAGAGAGGAAAAGATGAGAAAATAAAGTTTTCCAAAAGCTTGAGTTTTACTATAAGGCTGAAATGTCTTTTTCAAAACAAATAGAAATGCTGAAACTGAAGTTTAGAAAGGAGTGTACTTCATTTTGATTATTATGGACTATATGCCTCTCTGTAAAATCTTGGATTATGATTCCACACACACTACATATTTTTTCCAAAAGATTTTATTTACTTTTGCTTAGAATAACTGGGGTGTAGCCCAGAGGTATGTGTGGGGTATATGAGAGAGAGGATTTACCAGAGACAAAGTGGGGAGCAGAACAGGCAGATCTACTGAACTACACTGATAAGGCGAGCAGGAGAGAGGAGAGGTTTGCTGCGCCATGTGGGTCAGCTCCTTGGCTGGGGATCAAACTCAGGTCATCGCAGTGGGCCTTTGAGGTGGTAACACTGAGACTTAACCGCAGGCCACCACACTACATACTTTTTTTTTTAAATTAATTAATTTATTTATACAAGGAATGGGTACATTCAGAAGCACGGGAGGGTGAGAGAATTCACCAGAGCCAGAGCAGGGAGCAGAACAGGCAGACTGACAAAGTACACTGCTGAGGGGAGCAGCAGGCATGGCAGGAGAGATCTGCACGCCATGTGGGACCCTCACTGGTGGCCGGGGATCAAACCGGCGCTGCAGAGGCTGCAGGCAGCTTCACAGCCCCACACTCAACCACTGCGCCATCGGGGAGGCCCACACACTACATACTTTTAAAGGCTCTGTTCTTTATGCTTTTTTCCCTTACAACTTTTATCTTTAAAAGCAACTCAGGCTCACTGTAATCAGTGAAGCAATAGACAATGCAGAAATTATTAAATTTTCTACAATTTCCCCTCCATTCCCACCATCCTACGGTGGACTGCTACTGTGTGTATGCTTTCACATCTGTCTCTATGATGTTCAAATATCAAACAGACTAAGGAAAACAGGTGATTTGTCACATGCACTTCTCAGATCATACTCCTGTCATTAGGCAATGTGTGAGTGTGCCGATATGTGCTACACACAAGCTGGATGGGCAGTGAAGTTGGTATTACAAGTGAAGCAAGTCAGACACATACTGTCTGATTCCACTTAGGCAAAATAGCCAGAATAAGCAAATCTACAGAGACAGAATGCAGACTGGTGTTTGTCAAGAGCTGGGGAGAAAGTAGAAAGGAGAGTGGCTGCTTAATGGTCATGGGATTTTCTTACGGGAGATAACACTGTTTTGGAACTTGACAGAGATAGTGGTTGTACCTGAAAATACAAAATGACAATGAACTATTCATTTAAAATGGTTACATTTATATGAATTATACTTTGATAGACACAAAAAAGATTTTCTTGGGGCCTCCCTGGTGGCGCAGCGGTTGAGCACTGGGTTGCGAGGCTCCCCGTGACCTCCGCGGCGCTGGTTCGATCCCCGGCTGCTCCCCGGCCACCGGAGGAGGGTCCCACATGGCGCGCGGACCTCTCCTGCCGCCCGCTGCTCCCCTCAGCAGTGTGCTTCGGTCCTTCTGCCTGCTCTGCTCCCTGCTCTGGCTCTGGTGAATTCTCTCACCCTCCCGCACTTCTGACTGTATGCAGTGCATGTATAAACAAACAAACAAATAAATAAATAAATAAAATACGTGCCTCTTTAAAAAAAAAAAAAAAGATATTTTCTTGTTGCTGTTGCTATTACATTTCCACTTTTATTTTATTTAGAAAATCAACTTATCCTAATAGAGTACCAATGTCCTACTACTCATCTAATCATTCCACTATTAATGGACTTTTAAGTTATCTCCAGTTTTTTGCCATTAAGACTGGAGCCACAGCCTCACACATACAGGTTTTGTTTTTATGGGACAGCCTCCCAGAAAAAGAAATATGTTGTGAATGGGCCTGTATATTTAAATAACTGAGATTACTATCTGGGAAGTGCAGCAATTCAGACTCTTAGCAATGTGTGTGCATTTCACCTTCCAATTTTTTTTTTAAGATTTATTTATTTATTTATGCAACCACTGGGTACAGTCAGAAGCGCGGGAGGGAGAGAGAATTCACCAGAGCCAGAGCGGGGAACAGAACAGGCAGACTGACGAAATACACTGCTGAGGGGAGCAGCTGGCGGCAGGAGAGGTCTGCCGTGCCATGTGGGACCCTTGCCTGCGGCCTGGGATCGAACCGGTGCTGCAGAGACTGCGGGCAGCTTCGCAGCCCAGCGCTCAACCACTGCACCACCAGGGAGGCCCTCAATTTTTTTTAAACATTTATTTTTGCATAGAAGAACTGTGGTGTAGGCCAGAGGTGCGGGGATTGAGAGGATTCACCTGAGACAGAGTGGGGAGCAAAGCAAGTGGATTTACTGAAATACACAGCTGAGGGGAACTGTGGATGAGACAGGAGAGGTCTGCTGCGTCATAGGTGGGTCAGCTCCCTGGCCGGCAAATCTAACTCAGGCCATCACAGTGACAGCGCCGAGATTCAACCCCTAGGCCTCCAGGGAGGCTGCACTTTCAATTTTTGATAACCTAAATGGATTAAAAAAAATTGATAGACTTACTATTGCTTTAATTTACATTTCCCGAGTAGCCAAGTTTGTCTTGTCAAACTGGCGTCTTCAATTTCTGCTACTCTATGGATTCCCTATCCTAACTGTTGCCCATTTTATTTGGTTATCCTTTTGTTACTACTTTAAAAGGGTTTGTTCAATATTATCAGTTTAGCTATTTAACTGCAAATTGTTTCCCTCAGTCAATCATTTGTTTATGGCAACTATGTTCTTAAAGCTCAAAGAGACTTTTGGATTGTTAATCTCATGCTATATCTCACAGAGGGAAAAAAGAGGACAATAAAATATGGGAGGAGAATAAAGTATACAAAAGGTCCAGTTGCTTCTCTGGAAAGTGAAACATTCTTCTTTTTGTGCCTCTTTAAAAAACTCCACTTAATGACCCACCTGCATTGCTGAAGTGTCTCTTATTGGGGTGATTGTAGTTATCTCTGGGGTGTCCATGCATCTGTGGGCCATGGGAGGCAGGCAAATGAGGCTTCTGTGGGTGCAGGTTGTGTGGGGTATGGGACTGAGACATCAGTGAGTCCCGGCTTGAGCCTGAGGCCTCTGGTCTAAATGGCTTCTTACCACCAATCACATCATCTTTCTTCTTTTGCTCCTATAGAGTAAAAGGAACCCAGAGACTTTCAAGATCCCAGGTTGCATCTCCAACAACAGTAGAAAAATCATCCATCACCTCTGAACTTTCCCTTTTGGCTTCTAACATGCTATCTACTACCTTCTCGCCCAAAGACATCCCTAAACCCCCACTGAGTTCCCACACCACCAACAGCCCCACAGAGCCCCACCTGCTATTGGCCACACTGACATCCAAACTCCACCACAAGCAGTTTGTGCCAACAGCTGGATGTCGCTGCTGGGGCTGAAACAGCTGCTAGTATCCCCAAGAATGGTCATGAGACCAAGTTAACTAGAACAACAAACCACCCCTGACTAGTCCAGCAGGAATGAGTTTCTATGTCTAAGCCATCACGCTAAATGCTCAATTAACACCATTCCTTTAGCACACAAATAAAACATTCCATATCAAAATATCAGAAGCAATAGTAAAGAAAAATAAGAAATATACGTAGTGTAAAGTGACCTAAAATCCAAGCACAAAGGAAATTAAAGTTAATAATTTGGTTTATGTCTTTCTAAGCCTCTGTATACGTGTATATATGTGCAAATATATGTGTATATGTGTGTATTTCACATGTATAAACATACACACTTTTATTAAAAAACAAAAATATTTGGTATTTTTTGTATGAATACATTGTAAAAATCTTCTCATATACTTATTTCCATAATACACTATATTTACAGTTGAATAATACTCCCCAATATAGATATCATGATCTACTTAATCTACTCCATATTATTGGGGTTATTTCCACTATAAACATTTTTCTATTCTTCTCCCTTAAATTTTTATAAGTAAAACAGTGGTTTTGTCTTTGCTAAATCTTACTGGATTGGTCCTCTGTGAGGGGGGTGACAACTGTGCTCCCCACAAGGTCACTCTTCTTATCACTCACGAGTACAACATCTGACTCTGGACGAAGGGAGCCTTCGCCATTGTACATCCAGCTTCAAACCTTCCTCCTAACTTTCACTCCCACCTAGAAGCCTTGCCCAACTATATCATTTCCTTTCATTTCCTTCATTTCCATCTGACTATTCCTTCAAAGACATTTTAAAGTGATTAAAATTTACATTAGCATTCAGCAATTAACATATTAATTATTCCTACATGATGTGCTATTATCATTTTCTTCCTATCATTAAACATAAAATTCAATTTATAAACTAATGGAAGGTATTTCTTCACAGACTACCCAGTGCTGGGCATGCAACAAATACTTAAAGCGCCTGCCCTGTGCCCAGCACTATTTCTGCTATGAAGAGAGCACAAAGGATTAGAGATATACGACCTCCACCTTCACAGAGCTGCTGTGTCAGTGAAAGAGATGTTCAGTCTTCCTAGACTAGGCTTCAATGGCTGCTTAGGCAGGGCCACACGAAGTCAGCAGATGTGCAAACAGGTGTGCCTTTACACTGCATCCCTGTATAAAGCTCAGTTCCATCACTTCTGTGCCCACCCCCCAATCCAAAGAAGAGAGTGCAACTTCTGGATACCTTCCTTGTGTGAGGAGTGGGGACCCTGTGCAAAAGCAGGCAGATCACCAAGTACACATGGCTCAGATAAGAATGGAAAAAGCATTTCTGACCACAGTGCTGCCAGCTATCAGGAATGACATTTATTAGCTATGGTACGGTCCAGTAAACAAAGTTCAGGGCATTAAAAACCCAGGGTAACAACCCCTTGTCAGAATTTGAACATTGTGTGGCTCCAATACATTGGTTATTTTACCCATAAGGCCATACTGTCAGCCCAACTACTAAGGACTGTGCTGAGGAAGTGAAGTGCAAGCACCGTGAAAGAGCAGGCTGCAGGGGAAGATGGCCAAGGTGGGCTCCCTTACCCCCCTTTCAGACTTGGGATTTCACCTGTGAAGCAAGATCCAGCAACACTTCTAGCACCAACTACCTATTAAATCTATGACCATTTCCTCAGGGAGAAACCATAATTAAGGAATTTTGCTGGCTTTTATCTGTTTGTACAAATGAAAAATTTGTATTTTACCTCCTCTTCCTGAGATCTTTTCTTATGAGCCATCTTGTATAACTTATGCAATTTTCGAGCATCGAATTCTGTAAACTTGGAAACAAAAATCCATAGGTTCCTTAAAAACAAAAAAACAGTTCTGGTGAATTATGGAATTTTCAAGATAGCTTTTTATTCTTTTTATGAAAGGCACGCTACTGAATTTTGTTATGGAATATTCTCCAAGTATAGAGATTAAATCACAGAATTATTCTTTTAGTTCTCAGCATCAGTAACACAACTTTAGATGCTACTGTCAACAGAGGTTGGCCAAGGAGCCTGGAGACAAGGTTCTGTCTATGAGCTAGAGACCCTCTATTTATTTCACAGGTGTCCAGGGCTCCAGTCCTAAGCCTTCCCGTCTTCCATGCCTCCTGTACCCTCTGCACAGCACATCACACCACCAGCCCTGGGCCGGGACCTGCACAGGTGGCACTCTGCATTACTGCCCTTCTTCCTGCCTAGCTGTCACCACCAAGGCCTGTCGTTTCTTCCTTAAAACTGCAAGGGACTCCTCCCCTCCAGTCCGACGGCACTGGCCTGGCATTCCAGTCAATGTGATTGAAGAGGAGGCACATGAGCTGGCACAGCTGGTGAGTCCTCTCCCACTTTTGTGAGTATTGCAGGCCAGGCCACTGACGGAACCCTGTTCTGGCTTCCTCTCCAGCAAGCCAGCTGTATCATAAGTAAAGCCACGTACCTTCCTCCTAGATCTTTCTGTAACAAGGTTTCAAGCATCTTGACAAACTGCCTTTCAACCCTAAACCCTCTCGTCCCCTCCCTGTCTCACTTCTAGGCCGCTGCTGAAGCCTGAGGACTCTCTTTCTCTAAGCAACCCCACTCCACCTGTCTACGCCCAGCCCATGTGTGTCTGCAGCCTCAAGGAAGATGCCCTCCCTGACCACTGTTCTGCATATGCTTTCTCCTCCTCAGGGCTCCCATTCTTCTTAGTCTTGCAATTAACACGTCATGATAGACAGTTTCTCAGGCCTGGGAAGGGGCTTCTTATGAGCTACTATCGGCCAGGCCCTAGTGCCTGGCAAATTAAGATACAGACAAGTCAAAGCTCAGCAGAAGCCTAGCTTCATGGATCACATGCTAGGATGGCCTCTCATTATTGCCTAACAGAGAGGAAACCATGTAAAAAGCCAGCCAGGTGGCTAGGTGTAGGAAGAAGCGGGGAACAGGACACAGGAAAAGAAAAGCAACGTCTCAAACTTCTTTTTTTTAATGGATAGCATTGGGATAGGTTTCCCTAAATCTGTTTTTCACTTAAAACCAATCCACAGAGACAAGACAAAGTAATTACTTTAACCACGAAAATATGAATTCAAAATAGCTGGCTTATGAAGCTAAGGTTACAGGTGTCGGAGAAATTGCAATAGTGAGCCTCCCTGGTGGAGCAAGGGGTTAAGTCTCAGCACTATGAAGCTATCTCACAGCCACTGCAGCACGAATTCGATCGCCAGCCAGGGAGCTGACCCACATGGCGCAGCAGACCTCTCCTGTCTCGCCCGCTGCTCCCTTCAGCAGTGTATTTCGTCAGTCTGCCTGTTCTGCTCCCCACTCTGTCTCTGGTGAATCCTCTCACCCCCTGCACCTCTGGCCTGTACCCTAGTTCTTATATGCATAAATGAATCTTTGAAAAGAAAAAAAGAAATTGCAATCGTGTTTTTTTTTTAATGTGAAAAGTGAATACATAAATGAATGTACCTAAGTAATGATGCCTTACAAACTACAGTTCTGGATTAACTGCATTGTTCTAGATTACTACTAGTACACTCTCATTATCAGACAGTAGACAACTCAGAATTCTGGGTTTTAGCCTTGGTTTCATCTGATGGACTACAGACAACTTATAATTTAGTTACTATACTCTGAGTATCAACCTGAGAGGGGAAAGTAGCCTAGCAGGAGGTTTCCTACCCCTTCTAGGTTTAAGAGCTGAGTTTTTATCCTGAAAATGGGCCAGCAAATACAGCATCCCTGTCATTCTCTTAACAACAATGATATCATTCTACCAACTGGCCTTAGCAGGGGGCACCCATTTCAGAAAAATAAAATGGAGATCTGCAGCTATGTCAATAAACGATGGTTTTTTTGGAAAAACATTATCTTCAGGTGGCCATGTCCTCTTTTACAGAAGGCAAACAGGACACTTGTCCACACACACACACAGGTCACTCAAGCCGGACAAGTGGAGGTTCAGGCACTTACCTCCTCCATAGTTTGATGTGCTCCTGGTCTGAGTAGGCTTTAAGGCACTCAGCAATCCGGTCTCCAATCTTCAGCAGGCAGTTCCTAGTGTGCTCCAGCTGTTCCTGCACGTTGAGTCCCTTGTCAGGTTTGTCCAGCTGTTTTAGTGCCTTTTTCACAGGTCTCATCCTCTCCTTACACTGCAATGTGAGACAACAGAGTAGAGACTTAAGACATCTGCAGCAAAATGCCTCCTTTGCTTACTATGCTCTAAAGTCCCAGAGCAAGCACAGCTGACCCTCATGCTATATCATCAGTGAAGGAGGAGAAGGGAAGGCCTGGGGACAGATATAGCCATCAGGGTGAGAGTGCGCTAGATAATCCTCCTAGGGCCTGAAGATCAAAAGAGAAGCAAAACAGATTGAAAACCTCCCACCATGAGCTTTGAACAAGTACAGGATGATGATACTGGCAAGTCCTCTAGGCTTGAAAGAAACTGGGGAAAGATTTGTGGATAAAGATGACTGGAAAACAAGACTCTCTCCCCATAAAAACAGTGAAGGGATTGTCATAAGAGATAAGCCCGCAAAGACAGAGGAAATGGGGAGAAAACAACAGCAACAACACCTTGCCTAAATGCAAATGACTTAGTAGATCTGAGAACATGAAATCCTAAGCCAGCAGTGGAGAGAGAGGAGAACCAACCTGAGTTATACTGCAAAATTGTCCCCAAGTCCAGGTACCTCTGGAAGTAGTGGGTCAGGGCTAAAATAAGGATTGGAATTTTAAAGACTGCTTGATAACAACAGATATCCAGACTAAAAACAGACACCCAGATCTCCCATTCTGCCCAGCAAAAGATAGGGAAGTTTCTTCTCTAGAGAGAGTAAAAGAAAGGTCCCGACTGGGCTACAACATGGGGACGGTTGTGGGCAGGGCTTTTGCATTGAAAATTGGGTTAGATAGTAGCCAGGATCCTCTGCCTCTCTGATTCCAGAATGAAGAGAGCTGTGCCTTCCCCTCCAGTCAGGAGATTAGGGGATTCTTCTTCATAAAAATCCGACAACCCAAGAGGAAGAACCAAAAGATGCTGGTCACCCACTGGAAGTTTCCAATGCAGCAGCCAGGCCAGACCAGCCTACGGTGATGGCTCTCAAAGTGGAGCAAGCCTGGCCCACATGCTTAGAGCCTCCAGTCAGATAAACTTAGGGAAGTAAGCTATGAGCAGAACACCAAGGATTACTGAGACATTTGATAAGCATATAACATGAATAACAGAAAACTTATTAAAGACAAACAGAAAACATTCAGATAACTATAGTGGGAAATAAAATGTGACAAGAGAAATGGAAAGACAAAAAGAAATAACGGGAGACAAAGTGGAGGGATCTCTCAGCAGAAACGAAAATGAAAAATGTAATTACGGGGACCGCTCCCAAAACCCAAGATCTCAAATACAAGGAATTTATAAAGATAAAATTAAGAACAGAGAGAAAAAAAATTCTAAAATAAATTGAGAAAATTTCTCAGACCATTAAGACAGGGTTGTCAGTCAATTAGAATCTGGCATGAAGAACTAACAAGGCACATGAAATTTTAGAACAATGAAATTCTTAGACATTTCCATCATTTGTGACAATTCTTGTAGTTAAACACTAATCTGTTTATTTTTCAGTAACTGGAAAATACTTGTAATGACTATAACAGAAAAAAAAAATCAGTATTATGAATTAAAAAGGATTCTTACAGAAAAGGAAGAAAAAGACAAATTATCCAAAATAGCTATAGAACAGGAATGGGCAACCCCCAGTATTTCATATCTTTCACAATGGCAAAAATTAAAAAGTCAGAAATTACCATATATTTCTGAGACAGGAACACAATCAGAACCCATTTTCACTGCTAAAAGGAGAACAAATCTCTACTGCTGCTTTGAAGAGTGATTCAGCAAATTCTAATAAAATCTCAGACAGACCCAACATTTCTGCTGAAGCTATACACACCAGAAAACTCTTACACATATATAAAAAATATCTGGGGGCCTCCCTGGTGGCGCAAGGGATTAAGCACTGCACTATGAAGCAATCTGCCGCCTCTGCAGTGCCAGTTCGATCCCCGCTGGCCTTGGAGCAACCCACATGGCAAGCAGACCTCTCCTGTCTTGCCTGCTGCTCCCATCAGCAGTGTATTTCGTCAGTCTGCCTGTTCTGTTCCCCGCTCTGTCTCTAGTGAATCCTCTCACCCTCCCCGCGCATCTAGCCTGTACCCCAGCCCTTGTATGCATAAATAAATATTTTTTAAAAAGAGTATTAAAAAAAATATCTGCCACAATTTTACCATAGCCTATTTGGTAGTAAGCATATAAAAAACACCCCTATCAGTAAAAGAAAGAAAAAATTGTCAAGTCATAAAACCAAGTAACATGAAACATTTAAATCAGATAATAGTCCTATGTATAAATCTCAAAACTGAAGATTCTGAGGGAAGAAAAACAAGTTACAAGACACACATGGTGTAGCATTTATAAAAACATGGAAAGCAGGGCCTCCCCTGGTGGCGCAGCGGTTGAGTGCTGGGCTGCGAAGCTGCCCGCAGCCTCTACGGCGCCGGTTCGATCCCCGGCCGCCGGTGAGGGTCCCACATGGCGCGACAGACCTCTCCTGCCGCCCACTGCTCCCCTCAGCAGTGTATTTCGTCAGTTTTCCTGTTCTGTTCCCCGCTCTGGTGAATCCTCTCACCCTCCTGTGCTTCTGACAGTACCCAGTGCTTGTGTAAATAAATAAATAAATCTATATTTAAAAACAAAAAAAAAAACAAAAAAAACATGGAAAGCACAGGACATGCTGTTTATGGTACAATGGTTAAAAACTCAGGCTCGGGCCTCCCCTGGTGGCGCAGTGGTTGAGCGCTGGGCTGTGAAGCTGCCCGCAGCCTCTACGGCGCCGGTTCGATCCCCGGCCGCCGGTGAGGGTCCCACACGGTGTGCAGACCTCTCCTGCCGCCCGCTGCTCCCCTCAGCAGTGTACTTCGTCAGTCGGCCTGCTCTGCTCTCCCCTCTGGCTCTGGGGAATTCTCTCACCCTCCCGCTCTTCTGACTGTACCCGGTGCTAGTATAAATAAATAAATAAATCTTTAAAAAAAAAAAAACTCAGGCTCTTAGCCAAATTGCCTGGGTCAAATCTTTGCTCTATATCTTATTTGTGTGACAGAGGACAAGTTAATTTTCATCACCTTATTTTTTAGTATGTAAAATATTACCTCCCTTATCGAACTGCTGTGCAGAAAATACATGTTAAGCCCACACACAGTGCCTGGCTATGAGTTCTTAAGTGTCTTTAGAGACACAGTAGAACTTGGAAGCCTTGCATGACAATGATCACCAAATTTAGAATCGTGGTAACTCCTGGGGAGGTGACAAAGGAAAAGCATTTGGTTTAGACAGGATGTCACTTCAGCTTTGTATTCTAAGTCTTAAAAAAATCCAGATTTGAAAAAGCTCATGGCATCACTAGTAATGTCTATGATAGTCCAGAAATTTCCTGGATATTTGAAATTTTATAACATAAAAACAAGAGTAAATGAACTAATATGAGCCTTTTTTAAAAATAGTATGGTACCACCATGAAAAGCTCATGGCATCACTAGTAATGTCTATCATATTCCAGAAATTTTCTGGATATTTGAAATTTTATAACACAAAAACAAGAGCAAATGAGCTAATATGAGCCTTTTTAAAAATAATATGGTACCACCATGACATCAAATTCCTTCTGCACAGGATCTTCAAAGTATCAATCTCTCCCACACAGCCCCATTACAGATGCACAAATACGACTTATGTAGTTTCCTAAATTCACGACTCAAATGTAAAATCTGCAGCAACAAAAACAGTTATCTATTCACCCTTTGTGTCTGCAGCACAGACACAAAGGAAGTGTCCAAAGAAAGGCAGGCTCAATGAGCACCTCTGCTTTCCAAAGGCCTCTGAGAGTCTCTGCAAACAGACATAAAACCTATCCCTAAAATTCCTCACTGGAAAGCGAATGAGAAAATCTCTTCCTGGCAGCCTGTTCCAAAGCACAAGGTTTTTAAATAATAGAAGCAACATGCTTCCAAAGCAATGCTGAGTGCTCAGACCCATGGGGCTTCATGGCTGACCCTATGAAAGATGAGCAGGGTGGCTGCAGACGCTGGTACCCCTCTGCTTCAGGACTTACTATGCTGAATGTCTCCTGGTCCAGATCATCGTCCTCGTCTTCTCCGATGGGGACAGGTTCGCTTCCTGCTGTAATGTGGACAGGCCCCTGAGATCGCTTGGATTTACTGGAAGATTTGGCATCACCACTTTTAGGCTTTAAAGAGAGTGACAGAAATCACTGTTATTTGTGCAATCTTGTTTACCCTTGTCTACATCACATGGTGGGTAAAGTAGATGGCCTCTGATCACAAAGAAGATAAAGTCCTCTGAGGCCAACCGACACCACGCCTACATGATTAAGAGCTTCATCATCACTGCTCCCCTTTCTGTCTCTAAACGACCCAAATGTAATTTCAGGTTCGGCAAGGCTATTTTGACTTCCATTCCCTCATCTATAAAATGCACAAATATGTCATCAAGCGGTTTAAGATGGTAATCAGCAGAACTTTTGTGAAGTGTAGAAATTTATATTACCAGCTCATAAATGAATTTACACGGATCTAGGAATGTGTATTAACTAAAAAAACTTAGATGACTGAAAACTACACGAATCCACATGGATAAATTTCATATAAACATGAAAAGATGAAGAATGAAGAGACAAAGAGATATATATTATTTTTAAAAGTGACTTCATGTATGGACATTTAAAAACAAAACAATACTATTCTTTGTTTGTAATCACATAGTATGCAGTCAAAGTAGAAATAACATGGACAGGAAGTTCCAGATCAACTTCAGATTACTGTTCGGGAGAGAAGGGAGAACAGTAAAATCAGGTGAAGTAATGGTGAGGAGGACATCAGCAGCCATCAGTATGTGAGTATAAAACACAAAGCAAAGTAACCAAAAAGCAGTCACTTGACTTAAACATGAAAAATGATACCAACAGCCATAATACCTGGGAGATAAATCAGTATTTGTAAATTGGGCTTTGTGCTTTCATTTTTGGAATACTTTAAGAATAGTATCTTTCTGTGGAAGCACAAAAATATGTCATAGTATGATTTACAACATTAGATATTTGGAAGCAATTTCAATGTAAGAGATATGTATGGCTTCCAAAATGTTGTAACCAAATAGAATCTTCCTTATCTATTAATATTTATTCACCTGGAAAGTTGCTGGGTGATATACACCAAGACTTACGTAAGAAAGGGTATCCAAATAGTCTGATCAGATTTTTATACTCTATTTCTTTTATGTATAAAGCAAAAGTTCCAAGGAAATCTACTAGGGTGCCTCCCTAGTGGCACAGGCAGTTGAGCACAGCGCTGTGAAGCTGTCCGCAGCCTCTCTGCAGTGCTGGTTTGATACCCGCTGGCCTCAGAGCAACCCACATGGCGAGCACACCTCTCCTGCTCGCCCACTGCTCCCCTCAGCAGTGTATTTTGTCAGTCTGCCTGTTCTGTCTCTGGTGAATCCTCTCTGTCTCTGGTGAATCCTCTCACCCTCCAGCACATCTGGCCTGTACTCCAGCCCTTGTATAAATAAAAAAAATCTACTGGAGTTATCACTCTGCTAGAACAATAGCAGGTATTTGTTTTCATGTTTTAACAATAATTAACACAAAGGACTAAGTGTAAAATATTTTCATCAGAAGTCAGCAAACATATACACAACAGTGAACCAGAATTCTGTGGTTTAGAATGAACGTCATAAAACCCCTAAAGTGAAGATTATTCCATAGCAGGATCATCCCTGATAGTATCTGGGGTGAGTCTTGAACCCCTCAAATATTCAAATTCACCTGCAGATTGTCCTCTTCTACCATGACGCTGAGAACGTATTTCAAGTAGTTACCTGCTGCAACTGCTGCGGGTTTCCCGCAGTTATCCTATCTCACTCCAAACAGGCCCTGTGAAATACTCAACAGAAGAGCCAGTAGAGGTTTCTGGATGAAAGGACACCCTAACTGCAGGCTGTCTTTGCTGCACTGCATTCCTGACAGCCCCTCCTGCTTTCTTGGACATACTCCTAAAATGACAGTGCTTTCAGGGTCTTTACACCGCCTCTGTTTCTAACCCAGGAAGGGACTTTCAGAGACCTGGGGGGCTCAGTAAGAAGAGAGAGAGTGATACCTTTTCCTTCTTATCTTTTGACTTCTTCCTTTCCTTCTCCCCTTCTTTGTCTTTCCTAGAACTCATTTGTTTCTCCTTGTTCTCCTTGTTCTCTTTCTTCTTCTGTTTCTTTTTCATTGGACTTTTTTCTAAGCCATCGTCCTAGAAAATGAACAGGGCTATATAAGCTTTTGCCACAAACTTTACATTTACTTGTTTACATCCTGAAGAAAGCAGCAGGGCCCATGATGGCTCACCACCACACATGGAAGCCTAGCTGCAAGCACACAACCTTCAGCACTTACTCACACAATTCCAAACTCTCTGGTGCTCACCAGTGATGCCTGCACAGGCAGATGTGGGCTTTTGTTCCCATGACAACCCTTCAAGATAAGCATTATATTTCCCATTTCACAGATGGAAAAAAACAAGGACCAAAGAGGTTATATTCCAGTGCACAGTCAGCCAGCCACTTTTGGTAAAGGTAGCTAGTATCCTGAATTCCTGTGTTTGACCCAAATCTATGCTAATTCCTGTACACACTCCTGACTCCCTTGGAGCTAATTTGGAAATACAATTATACTCAAAGAGTATAACAGAATCCCATTAAGTTGTCACTACACACACAATGAATGGTACCAATTTACTTTTAATGTTGCTGAGACCATAGGTTACAAACCTGCAGGCCTTGGGCCAAGCCTCATCAGCAGATGGATTTCATCCAGTTCATCAATAAACTGAACTGTGGAGCAGCTGCCCCCTTTTCCTTCAGCAGAAGCTGCCTGGGGAGCCTCGGTGCCCTCCACACCCTTTCCTTCCCAACAATGAGGTCGAGTGTCAATCGCTCTTCATCATTAAAACCGTCCCCTTCGTTTACTTCCATCATCCATACATTTGCAATCACTGACTTTAATGAACTATGTTCCTCTCTCACAGGTTAATCCAAGACACATCTCTTCTAATTTCATTTTATCTACTAGCCATGTAAACCAAACACATTTCAGATCGTTTTGCACCAGTTTGCATAGTAAATGCAGCTTGAATTTTCTCTCAATGGAGACTCAGCCCCGTACCTTCACTTCCCCCTCTTCAGAAGGATTGTCAGAGTGTCTAGGAGATGAAAACTCAATCCCATGCTCATCTTTCAGCCGAGGAGCTTTGTTCTCCTTTTTCACTCGAGGTTTCCTCTTCTTTAATTTGGCCTAGAAAGGGAGAGGAAATGATGATAAAAGTACAAATCAAGTCCCTCAAAAGCATGATCAAATAACATGACCAGTAACAGTAGCAGCTAAATAATTTAAAAAAGAAAATTCAGAGGAAATCCAAAAGAGCACAACAAATTTCACCTAGGGAAAAAAAGATGTAGGCTTTATGCAGCTCCTACATCACATCAAAACACAAGTCCTTGAGCCTATTTATTCCTAAAGATGTAACTCAAACGAAGGATAAACACTTTATATACAAAAAATACAATTAAATATTATATAAAAGAGTTACACTTAAAAAACCTGGAAGCACAATGCATCTAAAAATAAGGAAAAGGTGCTTAAACTACTCCATCAAATATAATATAATAATCTAGAACAAGTATGAACGTATTTCTCCAAGACCTAACTTGCTGTATATACTTGGCATATTACCTCAAGAATAATACTTATGACACTGCAAAGTGAAAAATGACAAGATATGAGATCAGGATATTTTGGATTTTCTGAAATTTGTTTTGCTTATAACACAAGAAATTAATACAAACGGCACAGCTCTACCAGATTCAAGACACATGCACACACAAAGGCTGCTAGCACCAGTGTAAATTTCTCCAATGTGATTCCCGCTTTTCCAGGCCCGAATTCAAAAGTCGGGAAAATAAAAGGAAATAAGAGTTTGGATGAGTCCATCAGCAACTGTGGTGGTATTGCCACAGAGCAACTCTGACAGTCATAACTGAAGTCCAGTTTTTTAATTAACTGTGGATTCCAATTTTATCCTTGGGATCCATTATGACAAGTCAGTCAGGAGTTGGCTATAACAACAGGCAGACCCCAGTGGCACTCATACAGTAACCAAAACTATGCTCCAGAATTGCAGAAACAGCGTAAGGAAACAGCAACAGTTTATCTGGGTCAGTGGTGGTAGGGAACGAGGACTACTTTGTTGAAGAGACCAGGCTTACAAGAAAGTTGCCAAAATACATTGAGTGAATTAATAAATGAATTATTTCTATTATAAGCAAGCAAATTATGATTACTAGAACCTCCAACACCACACCTGACTGGGCAAAGGTACGATTTGGATAAAGTATTTCCTCCCCTACCACAGAAGGCTGGGCATCAGGCCCATGAGGCAGGTCTAGCTGGTGGCCACACTCACCTCTTCCCCGGCAGGCACAGCCCCTTTCTTCTCCAGACTCTTCCTGAGTAGCTTTAGTAGGTAGTCGGCACGGGTCTGCAGCTGCTTCCCCTGAGGTTTTTTATCTGTCTCCACGGGCAGAATCTTCAACAGGAGAGGAAGAAAAGCACCCGCCACCACCCATGTCCCGGTTAGTGAATCAGGATATAAGGAGGCAACAATGAACTGTGCAGTCCTTTCCCTCCCCAGCCACCCGATATCAATTAAGCCTCAGCTCCTATCTCATGTCCGTGGCTCCCAGTCACTGAGAATCCCTCACGAGCCGTTCTCGTTTTACAAAACGGGATGGAGAATCCAGCTCTCCCATGGCTCCTACCTGTGCTGTTAACAGGGTAGAACAACTCAGGTAGGAGGGGCTTGGTGGCTTCATCTGCTAGAGCATCCCAGCCGTCGTGGATTTCCTCCTTCCAGGAGCAGGGAATCCCTGGAGCTAGGTTAAAGCTTCGTTTTAGATTGAAAATGCTTCTTAGAGCATTGCCGGAGAGCACTGAGCTATGCCAGGACAGATGTGTCCCTGCTACCACAGCTGCACCTCTCGGGCCACACGGATTTGGTCTCGATGCTTACGGCAGGGTGCTGCCACCCTCTTAGGACACCACACATGGGATGAGCATTGACATGGCATGAATCCTACTTAAATGTGAGCTGCTCGGACTTCCCTGCTTACCGTCTCCAGTACGGCCTAACCACTTGGTGACCTGATCTGCAACAGATAGGGTGGGAGGCTCGATATTGTGGGAGAAGTACAGCCCGTGTTTTACTCCATTACAAAAATACCACTGTGGGGCTCTTTTTTAGTGCACAGAACTGAAACAGAGTTGTTTCAAATGCAGTTTTAAATAAATAGCCAACAAGGGAGGCCAAGGAAGGTTTTTATTATTAATCCTCTCACCATGGTATTTGTTGCAATGAGATTTGACCTATAATAAAAAGTGAATTTCAAGCTTTTTCCTGTAATTTCCCCAAAATTTCACCTATTATCTTCATCTATGAAATTGTGCCACAGTCCATAAAGATGGCAACATTTCCAAGGACAGAGAAATCCTGGTAATTTACTATAGTACTAATTTCCAATTTGATCCCCACCCCCCAGAAAATAATTAAAAATAAGTAATCAATATAAAAATATTATCTTCTAGAAATATAGAAGAAATATATAGAAAAAAATAGAGAAAGAAGTATATATAGAAAAGATAGTCTTCTGGAAAGCTCCAGCATCACAGAGTTACTTACTTTGTCAGTTAATTTAAGCTCTGGATCCGTTTTAATTAACTCCCAGTTTCCATAGCCATGTTCATAAATGCCCAGCAACAGACGAGAATCATCTTCTACTCCCCACTCTACATCAAAATGGGCAGCTTTGACCCGACAGGTTAAGCAATATCTAAATGGATTTCAAAAACAACAGGACATTAATGGTAGGGCCTTTCTGATTTGGAAATGAATACAAATGAATATAGAAGCAGTATTCAATGTATTATAGAAAAAAGCTAACACTACACATTTAATTTCAAGTCAGTTTTCTTAAGTCACAACCCCCATGCAGGTGCATGTAAAACACTCACTTTTTTTTTTCTTCAGGATCCACAGGGATAGATTTATGCAGCATCTCAAACTCTTCTTCATGTTGGATAATGGATTTCACATTAACCTGAACCCCAGATATCTTGATTGTTGGGCCTCGCTTTTTCCCTGGTCCTTTCCCTAAATAATACCAATTTCACATCAGTGAAATGAGAATCCGCTGAAGTTCCCCAGAAAACATGTAACAGCGAACTGTGAAGTCTTAATCCTTCACTATACATCTCTGGCAATAAAGCAAACATTTTTCTCAATGTTTGCAAAAACAATCTCTAAACAATTCTGTTTTTTAGCTCTGGGGTTTTTTTTAAACCCTTTAGTGTTTATATTTCAATCTTCCTGTTTGTTACATACTTTGATCCTAGAAGTAATGAAAGATTCTGAAGGAATAATATTAATGCTGAGGTTTTCTTCTGACTGTTCCATTAACAGAGCTCCCCCATCCACCAAAATGTTTTAAAGATGATCTTCTCTATTGAAAAAGTATGAGATCAAGTTAATAGCTAACACATTTTAAATGATGAACAAAAGATGTCATGAATAGATGACCCAGCCCTAAATTAAATAATTCTAGAAGTAAAATTAAATCCAAAATTAACTCTAACCAAAGAGATTCCACTGAAATTCATGAGATAGTGACACCTGTCTGTGAGAAAAGGCAGCTCAGAACCTGAGAGAAGATTTCATTTTTTTTTTTTTAAGATTTTATTTATTTTTATACAAGAGCTGGGGTACAGGCCAGAGGCGCAGAAGGGTGAGAGAATTCACCAGAGACAGAGCAGGGAGCAGAACAGGCAGATCTACTGAAATACACTGCTGAGGGGCGCAGCGGGCCCGACAGGAGAGGTCTGCCACACCATGTGGGAATCTCCCTGGCTGGCTGGGAATTGAACCTGCCCTGCAGAGGCTGTGAACAGCTTCACAGCGCTGCACTCAACCCGCTGCGCCACCAGGGAGGCCCAAAGATTTCCTTTTTTTTCTTTTAATTAATTTATTTATTTATACAAGCACTGGGTACAGTCAGAAGCACGGGAGGGTGAGAGAATTCACCAGAGCCAGAGCGGGGAACAAAACAGGCAGAATGATGAAATGCACTGCTGAGGGGAGCAGCAGGAGCAGCAGGAGAGGTCTGCACACCATGTGGGACCCTCGCCGGCGGCCAGGAATCGAACTGGCGCTGCAGAGGCTGCGAGCAGCTTCACAACCCAGCGCTCAACTGCTGTGCCACCAGGGAGGCCCGGGATTTTTTTTTTTTTTTTTTAAAGGATTTTGTTGAAAGTAATAGAATTTAAAAATATCATAATAGCATCAATATTTCTTTGGATGTATTTTCTTTTTTTATGAAAGAATCTTAGATAGCTTGAGTGGTTTGGAGAGTGGTCTGAATATGTGCATTTACAGAACCCAGAATCCACCCAAATGTAAACTGTAATTGCTTTGGCTGGCCATTACACTTACATGGCTCAAAAAATGAAAAACCAATATCCCTATTTTTTGTAGCTTTCCTGAATTATGAAACTACACATACAAAAAATAAATATTGTTTTCCCCCCATTTCTGCACATATGGTAGTACAGCGTCCTCCCTGATGGGATTAAAGTCTCAGTGCTATCAAGCTATTGCCAGGCACTGCAGCATGAGTTCAGTCCCCAGCCAGGGAGCTGACCCACATGGTGCAGCAGACCTCTGCTGTCTCCCCTCAGCAGTGTATTTTTAGTAGATCCGCTTCTTCTGCTCCCCACTCTGGCACTGGTGAATCCTTTCACACCCTCCCCCCACCCGACATACACCCCTGGCCTATTCCCTAGTTTTTGTATGCGTAGATAACTAAAATAAATCATTTTAAAAAACCCAAATAGTTGTGTAGCATGCACTGTTCTAGAACTTGCCTTTTCTGTCTCAGTATTTTGGAGCTGTTTTTCTGGATCTGACTGGTTATTTCCTCCTGGCAGTGATAACTTGTTTCCCTATACCTGAATGTTCTGTGAACTGGGATTTAGTATATTCTGAGACGAGGTTGGCATTTTCAATTCAAATGTAAGATTCTTTATAATTTCTTTTCTTGGGTCACAAATTTTTGCTCCCGTCAGCAGTGTACTTTGTGGTTTGTCTGTCTGCCTGTTTTGTTCCCTGCTCTGGTGAATTCTCTCACCCTCCCGCACTTCTGACTGTACCCAGTGCTTGTATAAATAAATAAATAAATAAATCTTTAAAAAAAAAAATTCCCAAACATAAATGCTTCTTTACTTAATGGTCAAAGCTAACTATGCAAGCCAGACACTATGCTAAGCACTTCACATGTTTGAGCTTAATCAAGCAACCAAACCTTATGAGGTAGGTCCTATTTCCCTATTTTGCAAATGAGACTCTGGCATGGGAGGAAGGGGGTGGGGAGTAGGTGGTTGTTTCAGGTCTCTTAGCAAGGAAAGGGCAGAACCAAGATTCCAGGGAAATCTGCTGACTACTTCACCTCTGCTGACAGAGCCTCCTGTGGGGATGTTATGGGAGGGAGGGGACCTCCATGATAATACAGTGACAAAAGAATGGGGAAACCAGCACAGACAAAGCAGAATTCAGTGAAGGGGGACAGCACCACCTGCATTTATTTGAGGTTCAACAGGGAGGGTGTCTTTTAAAAATAACTACTTAGAGATCTGTGCTCACAGCCTCAGCACCTCCTGCTTTGAGGACAGGCAAAAACTCCCAGAGAGAACACACCACAGGTCAAACCCAACTCCAAGTTCTAGTAACATGAAAATCTCACTGTAACAAAAATGTGCATAACATTCATCCAATTAGTTCTCTAATTCCCATGAGCTTGTCACAACACAACAGTATGTATAAATATATCCAAGCTGATTACTGATGCTTGTAGTCTATGATGTCCTCAACTACAGACAAAATACAATAAAGTGTGTTCAGCTTCAACGGTTGCGTCTTCCATCATTCAAACCAATTAGACCTTCTACAGCAACATAAAAGAAAAAATTCATCTTGTTCACCTTCTGTAATTCTACTCTGGTTGTGAATAGGTCTTATAATGAGCTCACATAAAGGCAGGTCAGAACACACACCTCCAAGGATTAGAATGCCTGGGATCCAAGTCTGTTCTAAAGCAGCCCTTTAACAGCTCTAAGCAACAGGTTGGGAGAACCAGTAAAAGAGACTTGATGACTTACCCTCGCTGGCATTTTCCTTCAGCTGTTCTTCATATTCCTGCATTGCTGACACACAACTGTTGTGAATCAGTTCACCCAGGCGTTTCAGATCCGCCACAGACTTATCGACCAGCTCAGCATCACGTGCTATGCACTCCAGCCTGCAGAAGATCAAATATGGGACTTGTGAAAAGCCCTGTGCTATGCTATGCTCTGCTCTGCTCTGCTCTGCTATGTTATGCTATGCTATGCTATGCTATGCTATGATGCTATGCTATGCCCCCTCTTTCAACCTCTCATATAAGCTTGCTCCTGCAAAGACAACTTTCCACACTTGCTTTTATAGGCCAATCCAAGCCTCCCACAAGAACCCTCCAACAGTGAATGAGGACTAACTTACTCATTTTCCATTAGAAAGAATGAGCCTCATGGGGCCTCCCCGGTGGCGCAGCGGTTGAGCGTTGGGTTGCGAAGCTGCCCGCGCCCGAGGCACCTGTTCGATCCCCGGCTGCTCCCCGGCCACCGAGGAGGGTCCCACATGGCGCGCAGACCTCTCCTGCTGCCCGCTGCTCCCCTCAGCAGTGTACTTTGGTTCTTCTGCCTGCTCTGCTCCCCGCTCTGGCTCTGGTGAATTCTCCCACCCTCCCGCGTTTCTGACTGTACCCAGTGCTTGTATAAATAAACAAACAAATAAATAAAAATAAATAAAGCATGCCTCTATAAAAAAAAAAAAAAAAAAAGAAAGAATGAGCCTCATCCACAAAATAGGTCAAGTCAGCTTTCCTTACTAAGCGCACTGTCTGGTAACTAGCCGCAGGAAGGACCCAAAGACCAAGCACCCTGGGCTGCTTCTTGGTGCTCACTGTCCTTCCTCCCCCACCTTCCTTCATCACAATGTTCCTAGAAGGAAACCTTTACAGTGTGTTTTGTCTCTCCAAGTCATATGAAGATGAATGTATAGAAATCATGCTGTCAAAAGATGCCAGACACACTTCACACACCTTGTGAATTCTGAGGTAACTATTCAAAGCCGGGGACTTCTACTTAAGGGAAGGCCCTGAGGTGCTGGCTCCACAGCACCAACTGCTGCTCCACCTCATGACCTCCTTATCAAATGCAAAAGACAAAGCTAGACACACAGGCCTGAAATTTCCATCTACTCTGAAAGTTTGCCAGGAGAGAAAGGAAGCTGACTATTTCCTTTAAATCAGTGCTACTATTTAGAGGACATATTGCTAATTTCGCAAAAATATCAAGCTACTTTAAATAATCTTTTGTTAAAATCCAACTTCTGAATTCATCTTCTGAATGCTTATAAAATAGTAATCCTTTCGGAAGTGACTGTAGACAAGATGTTAATAAACACTTAGCACTGTATCATCATGAAAGCAATTAAGTAGAAGACTACAATACCACAAAGAGGATTTTACCTTTGCCATTATCAAATCCAAGAACTAGAATGTAAGTAGTAACTACATTTATTCTTCTCCACCTGAGTTATCTGAACATTTCTTCTGCAAATTATTTCTCTGTACTATGGCTTTGAATGTCCTGCTCCATCTCCCTCACTCAGGTAAAATCTCTGTCCAGATGGTGGGTCTTTACCATCTCTGTCACTCTTCCTCAGAGGGAAATGCATGCATGACAGGCACCCAATGTATACACATTTCTAAAAGAATGTTTTCAGGAAAAGCACTAGTGTCACATGGAAGAGAGTAACAGAAAAAAGAAATAGCTGCGTAATAAAAGTGAAAAAGAGGCAGATAAGGAACTATTACTGAGCTTACCGTTCAAGAGGGAGACCAAACTTCTTATACGCCTTGATGAACCTAAGAATATGATCAATAAAGCACATTTTAAAACAGAGATTTTAGTCATGCTAATCAGAACATATACTGTGGTGATATGTGAGCCATGGAAATCATCAAAACTAGATTGGGTACAATCTTCATGATTAGCAAATGTTGAATGTGTTCGAAACTGGTCAACATAACCTAATGAATGCTAAAAATCTATTCAAACAAAAGATACACATCATGCTCAGTTACCAATCATGAAACTGATGATGACTTGACTTTAGTACTACCCTTTTGGAAGGTAAAGTTTATGAATTTCAATATGTAAAAAATGATTTGATCACCACAACTCTTGTTGTAAAACTCCAATAGAATTAACAGGCAGATTTGGCCCACTATTGTTAATTGCAGCTCCACAGTGCAATATTTTTCACCATTTTCCGGTTAATAATATAACTAAGATTTTGTTGGACTAATTCAAAAAACACTTCTTGAAATGAGAAAAAGTAAAATAGGGCCTCTCCGTTGGCGCAGCGGTTGAGCGCTGGGTTGCGAAGCTGCCCGCGGCCTCTGCGGCGCCGGTTCGATTCCCCGGCTGCTCCCCGGCCACCAGAGGAGGGTCCCACATGGCGCGCAGAACCTCTCCTGCCACGCCCGCTGCTCCCCTCAGCAGTGTGCTTCAGTCCTTCTGCCTGCTCTGCTCCCTGCTCTGGCTCTGGTGAATTCTCTCACCCTCCCACGCTTCTGACTGTACCCAGCGCATGTATAAACAAAACAAACAAACAAATAAATAAATAAATAAATAACATGCCTCTATTAAAAAAAAAAAAAAAGAGAGAGAAAGTAAAATAAATATATGATTTAAAACATTTTAAGGCAAAACTATTTTGGAAACGCTGTTGTTCCTCCTACACAATCCTGTCTCTAGCCAAAAAGGTAGTCAGTTTTTCCCTCCATAACTCTCTACCTTAAACCACATTACTTCCAACCACATGTCATCAGCTCCCTTTCTGAAAACATCCATTAGCCCTTCCACTACAGAGCAAGATGCCACAATATGTGAGGTACTTCCTTGTAATAAGCCAATTACTACAATAATCCACACAGAGCCCTCAGCAAAGGCTTGTAGACGTACTGCCTCAAGGAAGTCAAGAAAATCTCTGTCCAATCTTTAGCTGACCACTAAGCTACATGAGCAGAGCCTTCAATAACATAACAGAAAAAAGACTTCCTAGAACAAGGCCAGGAAAGTTAGTGAGTAAGCAAAGAACAATAGCAAACACAACAAACTCTGGTTGGTGAGAGAAATCTGATTCTCAGATCTATGTCACACTGTATCATTTAAAATGTCCAGTTTTCAACAAAAAATTATGAGACCAAGAAACACGGAAATATGATCCCTATACAAGGAAGGAAAGCAGTCAATGGAGATGTTCCCTGAGGAAATTCAGAAGTTGTACTTATTAGACAAAGATTTAATCAGTTATTATAAATAATACAAAAACTAAAGGAATTCATGTCTAAAGAATTACAAGAAAATACAGGAATTATATGCCACCAATAGAGCACATCAACAGAGACAGAAATTAATTAAAAAAAGAGCCAAATAGATATTTTGGAGTTAAAAGGTATAATAACTAAAATGGGAAAAAAGAAAATCTGACTGTGGCAACTCAAGCCCAGATATGAACTGGCAGAAGAGAGAATTCACAAGATAGGTTGAGGTTATCCAGTATGAGAAAAAGGAAGAAGAAAGAAAACTTATCATTCAAAAAAAACCAAAACAAAACAAACAAAACAGGAGAAATTAATACATCCTCAGATAAACAATAACATAGAACTTGTTGCTAGTAAACCTGCCCTAAAAAGATAAGTCCAGAGGGAAGAAATGAAAGGCCACTGAACATTAACTCAAACCCACATGAAGAAATAACAGCCTCTGAAAAGATAATGAGTATGTAAATATAAAGATAACACAAAAATGGGCCTTCCTGGTGACACAGGCGGTTGAACGCAGCACTGTGATGCTGCTCACAGCCACTGAAGTGCGGGTTCGATCCCAGCCGGCCAGGGAGATACCCACATGGCGCGGCAGACCTCTCCTGTCTCATCCGCTGCTCCCCTCAGCAGTGGATTTCAGTCTGCTTGTTCTGTTCCCCACTCTGTCTCTGGTGAATCCTCTCACCCTCCCGCTCATCCTGCCTGTACCCCGGTTCTTGCATAAATAAATAAATCTTTAAAAAAAAAGGATAATACAAAAATATCTTGTCCCCATGTGATTTTTTTTCAAATTACATAAACCAAAAATTATAAAACTGTGAATGTGTTTGTACAGCAGTAATAGCACAAAAGAGGGAGGAAGAATGGAGTGAAATTTTAGTATTCCACTGAAATCAAGTTATTATTCCAAACCAAATTCTTCTAATTTATTTCTATTAACTTATTTCTAACTTATTAACTTACTTATAACTTATTTCTAAGTTATGTTAATTATAATCTCCAGGACAACCACTAGGAAATAACTGAGACAAACAAGGGAATTAAAATGGTATGCTAAAAAATATCTTGTGATACTAAAGAAGGCAGTAATGGTGGGATTTAAAAGAAAAAAAAAGAAAAAAAAGGAAAAAAAGAAAATATGAAGATGTAAATTCTATCTTATCAGTAAATACATTAAATATGAAAGAACTAAAGATTTCAAACAAAAGAAAGATACTGATAGAAATGGAGTTTTAAAACATGGCCCAACTATACATAGTACCTACAAGAAACACAGCTAGATTCAAGGCCACAAAAATATCAAAATAAAGAAGAGAGGAAATGATACACCACACATATAATATCCAAAAAAGAGCTGCAGACTAAAAAATACACTTGAAGAAAAAATTATTACCACAAACATAAAAGGGCATCTTATAATGATAAAGAAGCCAACCTCTCATAGGAGATATAACAATTATAAAATGTATGTAGCTAACAACAGAGCCCCAAAACAATACTAATTAAGACTTCAACATCCCATTTTCAACAATGGATAAGCCAATCAGGTAGAAGATAAATAAGGAAAGGGAAGACTTGAACACTAAATCAAGCAGAACACAGGGCCTCCTTGGTGGCACCAGGGGCTAAGTTGTTGCACTATGAAGCTATCTGCAGCAACTGCAGCACTTGCAGCAGGAGTTCGACCCCCTACCAGGGAGCTGACCCACAAGTCTCACTCACTGCTCTCCTCAGCAGTGTATTTTAGTCAGTCCACCTGTTCTGTTTCCCACACCGTCTCTGGTGAATCCTCTCACTCCCCACACCTCTGGCCTGTACCCCAGTTCTTACATTCATAAATAAATAAATCTTTAAAAAAAATCTACAGAACATTCCATGCAACTGCAGCAGAATACACATTATTCTCAAAATAATACTGAGATGGGCCTCCCCTGGTGGTGCAGTGGTTGAGTGCTGGGTTGCAAAGCTGCCTGCAGGCTCTGCAGTGCCAGTTCGATCCCCAGACACCGGCGAGGGTTCCACACACAAAAAAAAATACTGAGGGTGAAGGGTGAGAAGAGCAAATAGGGTATAGCTACAACATGTCTGACAACAAATTCAAAAGGATTAAACTGATAAGTATGGAGGATTGGTTTGTATTTTATCATTGTTTTTATATATTTATATTTTTCATAATAAATTGAAGACTACGTAGAGTATCAAAATATGATTTCAGATATACTGCTAAGAAACTATTTGACATATTATATGAATTGGACCAAAAAGCAAAATATCTTCACACTTTCTATTCTCTTTAATCTTTAAAAAATAACATGCATGGAAACTGGGGAAAATGGTTTGGAGGCTGCAATTTTTTATCTATTTATTTTTTGGGGAAGCAGGGTGATGTGAATCAGACTCCAACAAGTATGGAATGAGGACCGACACAGGAAGACTTCTCAAATGAATTATAAGTGACAAAAAACAACAAGATTCATAACAATATGTTGTATATACTTCTGATAAACCAAACCAAACCAAACTGACACCAGCACTTACAGTGCTGGGAAGGGGATAGATGGGAAGTCAAAGGTGAGATGTTGAGTAGATAGTGTGAGGGAAGCCTTACTTATACCATTTTAAGTTTTATATTCATAGTATTTCTTTTATATATAAAGGTACATTTGTATGTATAAGTATGAGTGTATGTATGCATTCAAATTTTTTAATGAAAGCAAAAAGAAAGTTATTTAGCCCAAGCTTATCTCCAATCATTTCTTTTCTCTTGGCTGGAATTTCTTTGCAAAAATGTCAACAATAACTAGAGAATAGGAAGGAAACAAAAAGAGACAAGCAACAAAGATAGTTCAGCTGAGAGAAACCCTGGCAAAGGAAGAATCACCCTGGAAATCTGGAGGTGAACTCAGCCTCTCGTGCCTTTCTTGCAGCTATTAGTTTTTTCCCACTCTGTCATCACATAGGGGTCCAATCTGAAGGTTACAGCATGCCCTTCCAAACAAGCTCAAGGGAGAAAGGAGCCTCCACCAACCTGCGGATCTCCGCATCAGTAAATCCCTCCACAAGGTCCTTCCGTACACTTCGGGGGCGTCCTCTGCGCTTTGGCTTCTTGTCATCATCAGAATCATCAGTCTCACTCTCAGAAGCAGAGGACCTCTGAGCCTGCCTCTTAGACTCAGTATCAGAGTCACTATCATTTGTCTGAGCCTGAGAAAACAAAGTCACACTGTAGCAAGTGCCAGGTTCAAGAAATCAAATGACTAAGACCAGCCCATCTTAAATCTTTAGTACTCAGAACTTTCCATGATATCAGACACATCAATTTTCTGTTAATAAATAAGGAGACAGATATCATGTGATGAAGAAAGACCTACTTGGGATAGTCACACCTACAGAGACACTATCCTAATATAATATCCTAGTAATAAATGAACTGGAATAAAAATATTTGAATTGTAGGCTTCTATTTACTTCCTTGGGCAAGTTACTATACCTCTTTGTGCCTTTGGTTTCCATTTACAAAATGAGAATAATTATACCTATAATATAGGGTTTTCTTGAAGAGTAAATAAATGAGTCATTAATTGTAAAAGTACTTAGAACTACAACTGGCAGAGCCAGTACCCAATAAATGGTAGCTACTATTAGATAATATTTATTTGCTATTATCTTTGACAAACCTGAGTCTGTTATCTCCAACAAACTGGGTAATAAAACCTACTTTTCAATATTACAAAACTCAAATTACACAGTGCCTATGATGGCGCTTTGTAAAGCTAAAGTGTAAGTTCTTTGTTGATAATTATATAATCTTTTACTAAGTATACCAAGAGCTATTAACAAACACTTAAAGGTGGAAAAAGAACTGATACTTTCAAAGTTGAAGATATTATCAATTAGAACCAAATTATTAGGATAACTGGTTCTAATCCAAAAGACAAAATGCAAGGTTCTATAAAACTCAGATCCCACTCAGCTATCTCCCAACAGTCCGCTTACAAAGATCCAGTGTCTGAAAGGTGTGCTGCTGACCCCTTGTGTATGTGTCCATTTTCCTTGGTGAGGTTTCCTCTAACTCTGCCTAGAGTCTGCAAGGTCAGGCAGTAAAGTAAAGCCTCTTTGTGGTATAATCGGCACTTGTATAGCCTCAGAGTAGGTTCTGTCCTCTCTCTCCTGTCACTTCATTACCTTTTTAGTGGAACTCCGAATTCGAGGCAGCATGTAAATTTCCTCCAGCTCCTTCTGTCGCTCCTCCTCCTCCACTTTCTTCCTTTGCTCCTCGGGAATGATCTCATCCCAGTCCTTGTGAGGACGCTCTTCCAGCTCTTCTTCATCTTCCATTGTAGCAAAGTTGGCAACCTTAAAACAACGTGCAACCCGTTGTCTGAATGTCATTTTCCTATTTTCCAAACACCAACTCATTGAATGAGTGGTTTGGAAAATACTCATCCAGTGCTCAATCTAACCAAGACACTCTGAATAACAAACAGAACTCCTGTGACATTAGAAAGCCAGATAAACAATTTTCTACTAATCAGAAATTTTATTGAAAAGGAAAGAGATATAAAGATATAAACTGCCTTCTAAGTTTTATTGAAATATGTTAAACAATACATTTCTTAATGAATTAGACTAATCAGAGAATTTACATTTATTTAATTATAAAATCCTGAATATTTAATACTAATCTATATAAATCTACAGTTTTAAAATTATGAGTTATTGTTGAATAGAACACAATGGAAACAATGCATAACTCAAAGCAACTGCTATCATCTAACCACCTAGCTACTCTTCAGTTTCATCCAAAGACAGATGCTAAAGATATGTAAGGACTTCATGCACTCAAAAGAGCTCTTTTTAGCCCTAAGGATGAAAGTGCATTTACACAATTCAAACAATTCAAATAAACCTTGAAGAACACTCCAATTACTCAGTAACAAATATATAACACCTGGTGCCTGCTTTCACTGAAATAGTATGTATCCCAGAAAGAAAACTACATTACGTGAAAGCACATCAAAGACCCAAGACTATAGCTACAGAGCAACAGCCTCCAATCTGAACAACTCTGGAGTAGTGGTGGATGCCCCTTTCTTTTTATCCCATCCCATCTTGCCTTGAAAACTAAAATGAAGAACAGCAGGTCCTCCAATAACGTAAGAAAAAAAAAAATCCAGCTGACACTTTTTTTGTCCAAAGGTCAGCTCCTCCATTTGTACTTTTGATTATCTCCTTCCAGTCTCCTCTGTGGCAAGGTACCATTAAGTTTTCCTTATTTTCTTAGAGCCCTTAATATCTTCCTATTTTCAAATTCTTCTCTCAATCCAGAAGCATGGTACTGTCTTTCAAAATCCTTGTCTTGCTTGATGATTCCGTCCTCTTTCATTACCTTCACTGTACTCTTCATTAAGTGTTTTTTTGTTTTTTTTTTAAAGATTTTATTTTTTTTTTGCATAGACCTGGGGTATAGGCCAGAGGTACAGGGGTGACGGTACTCACCAGAAACAGAGTAGGAAGCAGAACAGGGAGAGCTCCTGAAATACACTACTAAAGGGAGACAGGAGAGGTCTGCTGTGCCATGTGGGTTAGCTCCTTGGAGGGGGATCGAACTCGGGTCATTGTGGTGAGACTTAACCCCTAGGCCACCAGGGAGGCCCCCTTCATGAAGCTTATTAATAATCTCTATACACAATGCTTCCACCTCCAAGACATCTGGTACCTAGCTTCTGTGTTCAGTTCTGATCGCAAAATGTTTTCTTTTATAGGAGATACCATTGATCACCCTATAATCAGCCTGAAAAAAAACTCACCAACTCATGAAAGTGTCCTGTCACCTTCTTTTTTCATACCTCTGCCCTCTCTTTGTCATCCTATTCTATTTGTTTCCTACAACCTGCCACACGTCCCAGAGTTCCACACTAGCTGGTTTCCACTATAGTATATTCTAAACTATAACTTCTTCTCTTCTACCCAGGGACTCTGGGCAGGATGGGACACTTCAGTGGCTAACTTCGAGGGTAGACCCAATCTACACTCACAACATATGTGGAACTCAAGAAAATTACATCGAAGATATGAGTCCATTCAGGTAAAAGGCAGTACTTGCCTTTAACACAGGAAGTCCTCACAGACATTAGTTATCATTCATGAATCCACATTGAAAACTCTCTCCCTCAATTTCATACCTTAAATTGTGACAGAAGCTCATCTGTTGCACTAGTTGACACTTCATTCTCTCTGGTTTCAGCCAAGCGCAAAATTTCATCTATGTCCATTTCCTAAAGGAACAAGAGCAATACAAATATAGTAAAAATGTAACAGTGATCAGGATCTGCTAAAAATGTTTGGTGCAAATAAACCAAATCTCCTTTCTGATATTCCATTTATTTTCATAGTACTCAGGTTTATACCTATGACATCTAACATTTCGGACTATTACTTACACAAATGACAAGGTGAAACTTCAAAAAAATAAAATTGGAATAAAACAAACTAAAAACAGAATTATCACAAGGCTTTTCTTTCTTTCCTAATCTATTTAATAAGAGCTCTGAGTTCCATAAGGAAAAAAGAAACCATGTCCTTTTACTCTTTCTTTATGAAAACCTCTAATACAGACTCAGTTTGCTTCCAGGAAAATTGATTGTCATGGATATTTGTCAAAAAAATATTTTTCCTCATTGTTCATTACCTGAGGCTCTGACTCTTCGCCTTCAAGTTCTTTGAAGAGATCCTCTGCTCCAAATTTCAAAATAGCTGTCAGCTCTTCTTTATTAAAAGGATTTGAGCTGTAGAATAAAATGTAGCTGTAATCTCTTAGGAATGTCAAATAAACTCTGTGGAGTTCTACTGTCAAATAGTCATCCTTCATAAAGGAACCAAATTACTAGAGAAAAATAAAAATTCTGTCCCAAGAAAAATGATCTCTCAAATATTTCTTTTTTTTTTAAATCCACAGGATGAGTCTGTGGTGATAAACCTCACTTGGCAGGAGACTAAGTATTCAATTGTTCTCCTGTTAGTCTATTATGTGGTTAAGCAAGAAAGACAACTGGCAGTATCAGAGGAGAAAGTTCTTTGTCCTTTGTCTCAGAAAGATCTCTCTCATTCATCAAGAATCTTCAACAGCTTCACCTCTGATCCAAAACAAAAAGAACCAAACTCTTCCTCTCTAGTTTCTACTTTACTGGAAACTATTTAAACGCATTCCCCTCAGGAAGGACAGACTCCTCTGCTTTCAGCTGTGCCACCAGCGACAGGCCGGCCACAGGAGACGTCTCCCACTCTAGTTTGGTCATAGTATAAACTCTCTTGGAGAAATCACTATGTTCCAAATAAAGCCAATTTAAACTTGACTGTTTTCTTTCATTATACCTTATCCTCAGTAAAAAAATAACGATCTGCACAAAAATATTTTTACCAATAGTAAGGAAAAACAGCTGCCAATTCAAGCCACTGAATTTTCACTGCTGAAAAGCCCAAGGCAACATAAGATGGTGCCAGGATGAAACCCTTAGGGGCAGTACATCATGCACTGCTGGGCTGTGTCATGTCACTCACAGAGCCAAAAGCAAAAGGGAGGGGGTTGACGCTGACACATAAAAATAAACAAGAAACTGGGAAAACAAAATGAAAACGCTATCTACTGTGGTCTTGGTTTGGCGTTTTCTAGGCAATTAATGGATAACATATTGTAGAGAATCCAATAAGAAGAATGAATTATATCAAATGTTGATGTAAAATCGGGTTGCCTGTCTATATCCACCCATCTTTGCAGCACTTACTTGGACCTTCCAGAGTTGTTTTCCAGGACAGTCCGGCCAGTGGTATCCATGCGCTGAATTACCAGATGGTCCAATACCATCTTCTTTTTGGCCCGTTCTATGATTTCTTCCTCCACAGTCCCCTTTGTGACCAAGCGATAAATATTTACCTGTTGGAAAAGCAAATGTTATGCTTAAAGCTGATCACACACCTACACCAAAAAAGTAACTTCCTCTAAAACCATGAGGGGAAATCAAAGGAAGTGTTCTATACTACCACAAATGATTATAAGCCATATCCATTCAAATGGGCAGCTTAACTAGGTGCAATAATTTTATTATCTGTAGCAGGTTGCATTCTTAAATAAAACTGTCTGTAATTACAGCTATTATAGCTATTTGCGATGATAATAATCTTGTGAAAGAACTATCAATTTCAGTGATGGAATGTTTCACCACAGTGAACCTTTGGCAGAGTATGAAACTCTTAACTTACCTAACACTAGAGCAAACTTTGAGATTCATATACTAAGGAATCAGTGTGTACTTTTCCAACATACCTCAAAGCTAACACTGGTCATATATAATAAAAATAGACCACCTTGATCAAAGTCAGAATATTTAACTTTTCCATACTGAAAGAGAGGGGAAAGTTCAGTTATAAGTCTATCCCTTATATATCTATCTGGGGGTAAATGCACAGAAGTCACTGGTGATGTACTTTTCAAACAGCAAAAGAGAAAGTTCTCTAACAGGCTCATCTTGGGCCCTGGAAGATATGTTCTCTGTAGTAGTCAACAGACATCTACCCTTGGGGGGACAGGAATGAAAAATAGGGGAAAAAGCATTTTCAAATATCCCAAAGAGGCTGAATAACTCCCTTTTCCCTAAGCCATATCCAGAAGCCTCTCCCACTGACCTGCTTCTTCTGGCCAATTCTATGGGCTCGGGCTTGTGCCTGCAAGTCGTTCTGGGGGTTCCAGTCGGAGTCAAAGATGACAACTGTGTCCGCTGAAGCCAAATTGATTCCCAAGCCACCAGCCCTTGTGGAGAGCAGGAAGCAGAAGTCCTGTACATAATGCAATATACTACTTTATGCAGTGGCCTTCTCAGAAACAGTTCACAGTCCAATAAGCCCTTATACCTGGAAGCCCTTATACCTGCAGGTGTGAAGAAAAGTGAGATATGATGGACAAACTTTATGGAGGCTAAAAGCATGTCAGGGTCTTGATGGCAGAGTGAATTTTCATTTGATTGAGAGGAAGGAGTTATTGTGGTAAACTAAGAAGTAAAGCAGAATCTGCTAAGGCAACTGAAGCAAAAGAATCAGTTTCCTATCCTAGCTATCAACAGTATAGAAGGAGTTAACAAAAACCAAATCAACTTAATGATCAAGGATATCAATCCAGCAAGTTGCCTAGATTTGGGTAGCCAGGCAGTCAGTGTAAACACAGGAACATTACAATGCTAGGCTAGTGAGGACACAGGAACACCACACTAGCAGACCCAGGGCTGCTAAGCAGCACAGGGCCTCACTCTCTACTGAACACAGAGAAGAAAACCAGAGTAGAGATGACTGAGGAGCCAGGCATGGGCAAGACCTCAGCACTGCCAGTTCCAGCTTGCACAGTGGTGATCACAGAGACTGGGCCTCATGAGACACCTGCCTGCATCTGAGCACTCGGAAAAGCAGGGTTGAGAGCAGGGAATTCACTACATGAGCCAGAAAACAGGGAAGCCAAACAATAAAACACAGGGAATTTGATCATGTATGCCAAAGCCCGACACCTTTCTGGCACAGAAGTAGCACTCAAAATTGAGTTCCATTTTGACAAATGGGTAGATTTAGTAAATATACATAGATGCAGTAAAAAGGTCAACACATTCGAATAGCCACATTCATCAGCATTGTGCCATAGAAATATAAATGGGAGTAGTTGTCTCATATAAACTATTCCAATAAAGAAGTGATCACCAGGCACGTGGAGGCACATACTCTGTTCCTTGGTGAAAACACCAAGCCATATTAAAGAGAAGTCTTTCAGGTAAATAATAGACATTTTTTAATAAGGCTAAAGAGAAGTCTTTCAGGTAAATAATAGACATTTTTAAATAAGGTACCAAAAGCTTAAATAAAATCATGGATCTGAATGATTATATAAACCATTCCAATGTCAGTCTTTATCAAAGATAATATGAATTATAAGCTACTGATCAAATTATGATCATGTACAAATTTGTATACAAATTATGAAAATGTAGGTAAGGGTGAGGTAAAACAGAAATACACATAAACAGTATAAATATAAATTGCGGAAAGTGATTAGCAAAGTGTATGAAAATTCTGTTGTAAAGACTCATACTCTTTTTTTTTTTTTTAAAGAATTACTCCTTTATTGTGAGATTTTTATTTATTTTATTTATTTTGCAAAGAACTGGGTTATAGGCCGGAGGTGTGGGTGGATGAGAGGATTCACCAGAGACAGAGTGGGTAGCAGAATAAACAGTTCTACTGAAATACACTGCTAAGGGGAACAGTGGGTGAAAAAGGAGAGGTCTTCTGTGCCATGTGGGTTAGCTCCCTGGCTGGGGATAGAACTCAGATCATCACGGTGGGCCTTCATGGTGGTAGCGCTAAGACTCAACCCCTAGGTCACCAGGGAGGCCCCAATTTTAAAGAATCATACTCTTTTTAAAAAAAAAAAAAGATTTATTAATTTATTCATACAAGCACTGGGTATAGTCATAAGTGCGGGAGGGTGAGAGAATTCACCAGAGCCAGAGCAGGGAGCAGAACAGGCAGAAGGACCGAAGTACACTGCTGAGGGGAACAGCAGGCGGCAGGAGAGGTCTGCTTGCCATGTGGGACCCTCCCGCAGGTGGCCGCAGATTGAACCAGCGCTGCAGAGGCTGCACGCCATGTGGGACCCTCGCCGGTGGCCAGGGATCCCAGGGATCAAACCGGCGCTGCAGAGGCTGCCGCAGCTTTGCAGCCCAGCGCTCAACCGCTGCGCCACCAGGGGAGGCCCAAGACTCATACTCTTTTAATTAGACATCTAACAATAAACCAGTTACATAAATAACAGTACAGGCGTGAGAAAATATTAGAAATAAAAATTTTTAAATCATTAATGATATGGGAAAAGTGCTTCATGTATAATTTTGAGTGAAAAGTGATGACAAAATATATGCAGCAGGACCCAAATCAGATAAACATAAAGAAATGAACAGTTCCATCCAGTAAGAATGGAGGGTGTAGTTCTTGAGTGTAAGGAAATACATCCAAATGACATGAATAGCAAGTTGTCTCTTGAATGGGAATTTTCTATAATTTTTTCCCTTGTACTGTTCATCTTCTTCCAAATGTCTTAAATGTGCATATAATATCTCCTCCCTGATAAAATATGTAATTTTTTAATTAAAAAAAAAAAGGTTCAGATTTACAGAAAAAGAAAGAAGCTGCATTATATACATAGCCATGGTGCAGGGTACTGAGTACTATTTAAAATAAAAAGGTTAACATTGGCTTTTTTCCGAGAAAGGGCAACATGAAACATTCAACTCATACTATTGTTAAACTGAGAGTAGGTAACACAAAAATCAATCCACCAAATATTACCCAATAAAACTAGCTAACATTTCTTATTACTGTGCACTGGGTGCTCAATGTTGTATCTGACCCTTGCAGCGTGTTACAGAGCAGGTATATGGAATTACAGAGATGTCGCAGTGGAGGAAGTAGGAAGGGGGGAAGGAAGGGATGGGAATAAGAAGATAATCAATGTTTTCAGTAATTCAATTCCTCTTCTCCTTAACTACACAGAGCTTGTAGTTAAGCTTGTAGTTAAGCTAATAGATGAGTGTCCCATGCTCCTCAGGGGAAAATAAATTTTTGGCTAAAAAGAATTGAGAATACTGCAAGTTTCTCTAAGACTATAAACAATGCTAGAGACTGAAGGCAGATGATTCTGGACAGTCAGGCACAGAGAGTAAAGTTTACCAAGCTCTTCGGAAAGCAGGAAGTTAAGTATGTCTATCTATATAAAACAGTGGTCCAGGTTTCAGAACATCTTAGGTTCTGGCTGGGCTCTCTCCAATGCTACTGAGTTACCTACACTAAGCCTCTCCTTCCCCCTTCTCTCAAATCCCATGGCATTTGCTAGTCTAATGTGCCCAAACTACAGTGCTACCACCGCTTCTAACTGGTCCAAATAGCTCTTTTAGATGTGTCTTCAAAACAAAATACTTTATAACGCCAAATCCAAGTTGGACACTTAATGGTTAGCAAATGCGGCTGTCAGACAAAAAAAAGAACACTGTCACACAGTACCAGATCCAACAAATTTGAGAGATGTGGCAAATGTACACTTCAAGCTTCAGTCACAAAAAAACTACAGTTCAGAACCTTCGGATGTCATGTATAATGCAAAATTAACTCTGCTGGTTAGCCTTAGCCAGCCTTTTCCTTGCTATTCTCCCAGTCCAATAAATTTGGTATTTGGAAGCCCCAGAGAACACTCAGTTGATAGCAGAGCTACATTCTTTAACCCAGACCATGGGAGACTGTAAGCAAGCACCTGTGTGCTTTGGGGGAGTGGCAAACAACAAAATCAAGAGGCACCTTGTATGTCTCTGATTCCTCAGTCCCTTCTAGAGAAAGGACTGCACTGTGAAATGCTTCTGAAATAGAATACATGAAGTTTGAGAGGCTTTCCCTTTGAGCTTTTCCCCGGCTCCCCAAATAAAAAAGCCATGCACGGTGTACCTCAGACCCATCTGCGTTGAAGTGGTCCAGTGCCTGTTTCCGTATTTCTCCCTTTATGGAACCATCCAGACGCTGTAAAAATAAACCAGAAAATGATATGATAGGAAGATCAGCTACACTCAGAATAGAACACTAGACTTGCAAGCTTCATCACTTCAATACCCACTGAGTAAAAATAACCAGAATGTGCTGGCAAAGTGCTGTCAGGGGCTGTGCTATTAAGCAGCACACCATGCCAGGCCCAAGCTCTCCAGTTACAAACGCAAGGCCTGAAGCCTCTGATTCCAAGGGCTATCCAAGGATCAGAATGGCCAGCAGGGCCTACAAGGAGAAAGACAACAACCCACGCTGTATTCAGAGGCTTTGCCTCTATATCCGCAGGGACAGGAGAGATGAGGAAACAGCACCGCCAGTCAGGTAGTAATTAGCTCCTGCAGAAAAATGCATCTTAGCTAATGTGACTACATTAAGTGCTACAAAAACCAAAAAATTACTTACACAGTTTTATTTGAAGAACATTTTGCTGTAACACTGAAAACGTTAAAATTAAGTTGGCCATGTCACAGCTGTTCCAAAAACTATACTCTGAAATCAGAGCAGTGTTCAAAGTGCATTTTCAACAGTCTCTGGCATTTACTAGTAAACATGATTCTTTTGCTGTTTTTTTGCTTTTTAATTTTAGATTTTTATTAATTGACTTTTTCCAGTAAACAAATTACGTAACATTTGAAACACCTTTTTGAAAAAGATGCTTCTCCCATCTATACATCTTATAAATTTTATTATTTTTAAGATTTTGAAAATACATTTTATTTTTTTATATCATTGTTCATTTTTAAACAATATTTGCTTCCCCCCACCCTCTCAGATGTAGTCCCCATAGAGTTTCCTTCACCAGTGCACCCATGCGCCACTACCTCAGTTCCCTATGCTCCTCCCTCCCTCCCTCTGATCCCTCTCCCTCCTCCTCCCCTGCAGGATGTCTGTGATTTATAGTTGTCTGTTTTTGCTTGTTGTGTTTTGTACTATTACTATTTTTTTACACTGATGTCTTATTTGGTTCCCCTATATTCCTGCTGTAAGTGAAACCATCCGGTATTTTTCTTTTTCCTTCTGGCTTATTTCACTGAGCATAATTCCTTCTAGCTCCATCCACGTTGCTGTGAATGGCATGAGTTTATCTTTTTTGATTGCTGAATAGTATTCCATTGTGTATGTATGCCACATCTTCTTGATCTAGTCATCTATTTTTGGGCATTTGGGATGTTTCCAGGTATTGCCTATTGTAAATAGTGCTGCGATAAACAGGGGTATAGATGTTCTTTTGAATCAATGTGTTTGTGTACTTTGGGTTGATCCCTAGGAGTGGAATTGCTGGGTCATGCGGTGTCTCCATTTTCAGTAGACTGAGGAACCTCCAGGCAGCTTTCCATAGTGGTTGGACCAGTTTGCACTCCCACCAGCCATATAGGAGAGTTCCTTTTTCACCACATCCTCGCCAACATTTGTTGCTACTTGTTTTTTTTGATATGTGCCATTCTCACTGGTGTAAGGTTGTATCTCAATGTGGTTTTGATTTGTATTTCCCTAATTATAAGAGATGTTGAACATTTTTTCATATGCCTGTTGGTCATTTGCATTTCCTCTTCGGAGAAGTAAACATGATTCTTTTGTATGTGTTAGCTGTAGTTGTGAAATAATGCATCATAGGGAAACCACATAACGTATAAAATACTGAAAAATTCTATGTATGTTGCACAATAAGCATTTCCCACTCTTTAATATTATTTTCACATTTCTCCTCCCCACAATCATCCCTTGGGATATTCATCAGTACCTCATTTTATAAAACACAAATGACCCAAGATGATGTCAGCTGGCCAGGGAGCAATGACTGGATGTGGCAGAGCAAGTAGAAGGATCTACACCTCCCAGCTCAAGTTCTGCCCCTGAACCCAGAGTCACCTCAACACATGTCTAAAGCCCCCATCTTTCCTTTTTTTTTTTTTTTTTAAAGATTTATTTATTTATTTATTTATACAAGAACCAAAGTACAGGCCAGATGTGAGGGAGGGTGAGAGGATTCACCAGAGACAGAGTGGGGAACAGAACAGGCAGACTGACGAAATACACTGCCGAGGGGAGCAGCGGGCGAGACAGGAGAGGTCTGCTGCGCCAAGTGGGACCCTCGCCGGCCGGCCGGGATCAAACCGGCACTGCAAAGGCTGCAGGCAGCTTCACAGGAAGGCGCTCAACCGCCTGTGCCACCAGGGGAAGCCCATAAAGCCTCCATCTTTCTTTCTGACTACCGAATCTACTCAGAGCCTTCAACCAAATACAGGTTTTAATAGCAGACTAACAGCCAATATTTGAAATCAGAGAAATCAAATATCTGCTTTTTAATGTTCCCATTAATAGGAGACATTAGGCATGGACTCTAGCCCACTTATTCCCTAGAGAGCAAAGTAACTGTTTTGCTAGTATCAAATGATTAGCTAGAACTGAGAGTGCACAGGGATCAGACAACTCTTTTTGCAATGAGCCATATCTGATAATATCTAGCATTAAACTATACTCTAAGACAGCATGCTGAAGAACCACACAAGCTATTATGGCTATAACAGCACCCTACATGATATTCTCAAAGACAATCTGTCAGTTATTCATAAAGCTTGGCTTTCTTGGGAAATAGTGACTGACTCCAAGTTTCTTCAAGGCCAGCAAAACTACATGAGTTAGTAGAACAGTCCATCCACTCAAAGTTAAAGGAAAAAATTTTTTATTAAATCTTAGAAATAAAAGCACTGTAAAAATATTACACCAAGGTCAAGATAAATGACACTCATGTGTATGAACAGATCAAAAATAAATTTTTCATAGGCTAACACCCAGAAAGCCATTATTGGGATGAAGAAACTCTTTTCCTACGTAGGAAACAACTGAATGAAGATGAAAATCTGTAGTAACTAATTCCTGCAGAGACAGAACCAGCAAGGAAATACAGCATGTCCTCAAATAATGCTACCTCCTTAAGGCTTAAAAAAAAAAAAATTCAGCTAATATCGAAGTAAATGAGGTTATTTTGTTGTCATTATATATCATTTCGCTTAGAGCCAGAGTCCAAGAACCTACTTGTGAAGTGAGAACTTAAGGTCCACTGATCTGCTGTGATGCCAGCCTCATAGCCAGCATCGACTTCCTTTTGTGTGCCTATTCAACAGTCATCTCTCCTTTTCCTTCTTTTCAAAATTTAGGCTTCTAAAACCAGGTTCATACTTCCTTCCTCTTTTTACCACAGACCTGAAATGTAAGACACCCTCCAACATATTACATGCCCAATTTGCCTTTCACTAATCCCCATCCTTGCCCAACCTCTCCAAAACAATCATCTTCACATGACCATTTTCATGATAGGGTAGGCTAGGGGTATGGAAGTGTTAGGGGGAAAAGGATGTCCCAAAGCAAATTCCATATAGGCTTTGTGGACTCCACCCCCACCCCAGGTCAAAGCCAAAGACACTGGGAACTCCAAATCCATCACCACCAAAGGGAAGGTGGCTGGGACCTGAGGGTGGGGTTAAGCAGCCAGGTGGATAGAAAAAGGCAGACACGGGGCCTCCCCGGTGGCACAGCGGTTGAGCGCTGGGTTGCGAAGCTGCCTGAAGCCTCTGCAGCGCCTGTTCAATCCCCGGCTGCTCCCCGGCCACCAGAGGAGGGTCCCGCATGGCGCGCAGACCTCTCCTGCCGCCCGCTGCTCCCCTCAGCAGTGTCCTTCGGTCCTTCTGCCTGCTCTGCTCCCCGCTCTGGCTCTGGTGAATTCTCTCACCCTCCTGCACTTCTGACTGTGCCCAGTGCTTGTAAAAATAAATAAATAAATCTTAAAAAAAAAAAAAAAAAAAAAAAAAAAAAGGCAGACACGTGGGCTTTGAGGGGCTCTCCATTTTTGGGCTCTCAGCCAGCTCGCAGCGTCCGGCCAGCTCTGAGAGTGACTTTGGGTTTCCAGGTCGTCGGATCGGGTAGGACGCATTAAAGACTTTATTTCCCTATTTTCTCCCTGAGTTGTACATTTTCCTTATTTCTTTTTCTCTTGTAAATAAACCTTTTATTAACCCTTTTGCGTGTGTCTGTAGTATTCATAAGTCCCTTTAAAGCGCGCGGGTGAGGACCCACAGCCAGGAACCCGTTTAATATCGGGGTTGCTCTATAACAAAAGTTTAAAAAAAAGATCTTCATCTCAATTTGTTTCAAGCAAGGTAAGGCTTGTTTATGATTTTAGGAGGCTTGCTCATGATTTTTAGGAAAATTTAGCAAAAGCAAACATGCAACCCAATAAGGGAGAAGAAGAGAAGAAAAGAGAGAGAGTTGGGGTGAAGGACCCGAATTACCAAACACTCTTACCTGGAAAGGATAGTGTTTAATAGTCAGGTACTCAGCCAGGATATCCAACATTCTCACCATCTGGAGAGAAGATAAGGACTCTGTTCCCCCTTTCTCGAAGTCTTGTCAACAGTTTATCTAACAGAATCAGCTTCCCGCTGCTCTTGATCAGGGACTGAAGGTTGAAAAGATATTCTAGTCATCATGTTCCAAACCATACATGGATCTGTTCTCAAGTGCTAAGAGTTCTATTTTTTTTTTAATTTTTATTGAAGTAACACCAGTTCATACAAGGCTCAAGCGCACAACTTTGTAAATCACCATCTGTTTAGACATAACTAACCAAACAGATCCTAGAAATCTGACTATAGAATTTAGACAGCCAAATGGGGAGGCTGGCGCAGCAAGAGAAGGGGAGAGGGGCACTGTGGTAGAGGATTATGGCTGCTTTGGTGGTGGATATGACACAATAACATACTTCTGAAGAGGTGTGCACCTATTCCCATAACCATACACAGTATTATAAACCAATATTACCTCAATAAAAAAATAATACAATAAAAATAAGTTAAAATAACAAAAAATAAACAAAAAATCAATATCTGTTTATAGTTTACACTAAGTTATGTTTTCCACCAAAAGTCTAGTTTCCAAAAGTCTAGTTGGCCCCTTCCCCCCAATACCTACTTTTCTCCCTCCCCTTCTAACGGTTTGTTTTGGTTTTGCTTGTTGCTCTCCCACATATGTGAAACATTATGGTATTGACGTTTGTATTTTTCTAAACCATCTTTAAGACAGTCTTCTGCATTCTGGCCGAAATGCTCTTTACCTAGCACCTTGACACTATACTTCCAGATTTTTCCTAGTTATTTAACTTTCTTCACCTGCATTGAAAGCTTCTTGTGATGCTCCCTGAGGAATCATAAGGAGAAAAAGGAGCATTCTGGACAAAGATCATCTCGAGAAACAGACCTATCTTTGAGAAATTAAACACTGTCATCACACACCAGGAGAATCTCCTGTCCATTCTCCCTCTCATTCTCCTCGGGGGCTTTGATCAGGTAGCAGTGGTTGCAGCATTTCTTCAGTTCCATCACAATATTCAAGAAACCAGATGTGCTGCCTCGTGTTCCTTTCGCCAGAGCCTTGTAATTCCTGGTCAGAATCCATCTGAAAATTAATATGACAGTAACATTAGATCCAAAGACAGAGAGGTTTAGGGGTACAAGAAGATTAGGAGAGAACAGGTGGTGGAGGGGAAGGGCAGGGAAGAGACGTTTTGCATCTCCTACCCCCTAAGCTGAACCTCTCACATCTCCAGTCAGACTCAGAATGTTAGTCATTCAAATGGATATTTCAACCTCAATGAATACAGGAAGGAATATTAAAAGGAAAAAAAACACAAAAGTCACACACTCGTGTTTGTATGAAGGATTGTCACTAACACTCTTTATTACAGCAGAAAAGTGAAAATAAGTCATCAAAAAAATTAGAAATGATTAAAGTAAGCCATAAGATAGAAGCTATGTTTCATCCATTCAAACTATTGTGAGTGTGTTATACTACACAAAGCTCACATTAAGTGTGTTGTATGCCCCAATCTGGAAAGAATGGAGGAGAAACACATTCACATATTTCCATATGCTAGCTTTAAGCATAAATCGCCAAATATTAAAAGTACCTTTTCCTAAGCAGTGGAACTTCTTTATACTTTTAGCAATCAGACTTACAGGAATATATCTCAAAGATGATGCACAGGGATTTTCACTGCAGCACAAATTGTACAAGCAAGGTTTAAAGCACTGAAAATATCCACTACTAGGGGACAGGCTGAATGAATGAATGACCCTATGGACCCAAGTGGGATACTACATAGCTGTAAGAAGAAAGGCAAACGTCTCTATCCATAAAGTTTGATAGAGTTTTCTTTAGCACATCTTTAAATGAAAAAGGCAAGTAGGAGAGAATGTATACAATATACAACAACTTGTAGTAGGAAAATGGAGGCAATTAAAAAGTTAAAATACACTTGCTGGGGCCTCCTTGGAGGCTAGGGGTTAAGTCTCAGCACCATGAAGCTATCAGCAGCTACTGTGACATGAGTTGGAACCCCAGCCAGGGAGCTGATCCACATGACACAGCAGACCTCTCCTGGATCACCCGCTGCTCCCCTCAGCAGTGTATTCCAGTAGATTCACCTGTTCTGCTTCCCCACTCTGTCTCTGGTGAATCTTCTCACTCCCTCTCACCCCCACACCTCTGGCCTGTACCCCAGTTCTTACATGCAAAAATAAATAGATCTTTTAAAAAAAATTGCTCCTATTTTTACATTAAAAATAAAAGAAATATGAACACTGAGGTTGTTTTAAATAACATTATCATCAAGGATGGAAGATACTGAGATAGCAGCTAGAATTCTTTGAATATAGCAGGTTTTGTAGTTTTGCCTTTGCAACTACTATAAATACTGCACATAAGTATAAAACATCATTAGACAAAGCAAAATCAAAAATAAAATAAACTTTTGTATCAACTCTACAACTACAGTCTTAGAAAAGAGTGAAATGAGTTTTTAAACATTTTAGAAACATCTTTAAAAACAAATTTCTGAATTTTCCACTGAAACAGACTGAATATTGTCCTCTGTAGCAGCAGAGTACCCCCTAATGTCCAGTTTATGGTCTCCAAATGCCATTTTCCACTAAGATAGCATTAAGTGGACATTATAAAAATATTAGGGAATTCTAGATTTTCTTAAAGCATGACAATAGTATGGAAATGTGCTTAACAATAATAAAACTTAGACTCCCTCTATTTTAGAAATACAACTGAGATATTTGGTTATAGACCTGGAATGCTTCAAACTACCTCTGCAGGGATGGCGATGCAGAGAAGATATAGATGAGCTAAAATGGGTCATGAATCAATAACTGTTGAAGCTAGACTATGGGTACATGACTAAAAACAGAACAGTACTATTTTTGTAGATATTTGAGTTTTTCCATAATAAAAAAATTTATTTTGAAAATTCAAGTCAGATAGCAGTTTTTGAAAATTAAAACCTAGTTTTCATTTAGTTGTATTAATTAAGAGCAAGCTGGGAATGTTATTAGGAAAATCACCAGATCTCCAGCTTTTATTTAAAAGAACAATTTTCTTGTCAATTCAATTTAGCTTCAATAATTCCAGATCCAACTCTAAACCATAAAAACTAAGGCCCAGGACAAGCAAGTTATTTACTGGCCCCTGTTCTAAACCTACCACATTCTGTCTTTAACATATTATAACCTAAACCAAGCCCACAGTCTGGATGCCACTGTGCAAGAAAGGAAAGTGTCTTCACCATTCAGTACAGAGGTGAGCACTCCTGCACACCCACAGCCCCTACGCATATGCCTCAGTTATCAGACAATACCAAGCTTTCACTACTCATCTCCAGTCTGGCTTCCCAGTTACTAGACTATGACGCTGCTGGCAGGGTCATAGCCCGTTCATTTTTCACATTCCCAGTATCTAGTAGAATGCCTGGCACATTTCAGAAGCTTAAAACATGTTTCAATGAATGGCAAAGAAGAAATACAAATAAGTAAATATGGCTGATTATTAGTAGGGGAATTAGCATTAAACCTTAATATAGGGGTGTAACAGGGTGGTCCCCAGGAAAGGGGGAGGTTCCCTGCCCCTCCCAAGGGAGGGTGGAGCTGAGCAGGAAGAGGAGAAGCTGCAGAAGAGACTGAGGAAGGAAGCAGGATGAAGCCAGGAGACCTGGAAGAGGCGCATGGAGCCTAGAGACACGTGAAGAAACTGTGCTTGTCTTTTGGTCGTGGACTTGGTGACACAGATGTGGGTGAGACCCGTGGGGAGGTGACAATGGCAGCTTTTATCTTGATGTTGATTTTGCTCTTTTCCTTCCGGGCTTGTCTGGTTGTTTCTGACTCTTTTCTGTGGGTCCCCACTGGAAGATGCTTTAGACTTGTGGCAGGCTTTGGGGCCTTGCTCTGGGCCAATCCCATATGGATGGACTTTTACCCACGAGGGGACAGGTAACTTTGGGTGCTTGATTTAGAAACTAGACTCTTTGCCTTTCCTGTATTGTTTCCTAGTTTTATTAAAGTTCCTTTTCATTAAAGTCTCCTATGTTTTGTGTTGATGCGGCGGATGGCAGAACCCATTTAGAATAGGCAGGTTTAGGGGGTTTGGGCTGCCCCTCTCCCTGTCCTATAACAGGGGGACTCCCCTGGTGGCACAGTGGTTGAGCGCTGGGCTGCGAAGCTGCCCACAGCGCCGGTTCATTCCCCGGCCACCGGCAAGGGTCCCACCAAAAAAAAAAAAAAAAAACTTAATATAGGGCCTCCCTGGTGGCTCAAGGGGTTAAGCACCGTACTATGAAGCAATCCACAGTCTCTGCAGTGCGTGTTCGATCCCTGGCCCACCAGAGAAAAACCCACATGGCGCAGCAGACCTCTCCTGTCTCACCCGCTGCTCCCCTCAGCAGCGTATTTCAATCTGCCTGTTCTGTTCCCTACTCTGTCTCTGGTGAATCCTCTCACCCCCTGCATCTCTGGCCTGTACCCCAGCTCTTGTATGCATAAATAAATAAATCTTAAAAAAAAAAACTTTATACTTCAGATCACTTAATGAAAAGTATTATGCAAATTCTGACCCAAATGAAAAAGGCAGAATAAAAAAACTTCCCATTTCTGTACATAAATTGCTACTTAAATCTGTTGAAGCTTCACTGAAAAAAGGAATTTGTCAAATACCTATCATGGTACTGATCTCAACCCCAATTGAGCCTCCCCTACCAGTGACGTACTTGTAATACTGTTTCTGAAGGGCAGACATCTCCACCCTGAGGATCTGTTCCACCTTGGCAGGAAGGGATTTCTCCACATCCTTTTTGACTCTCCGTAGAAGGAAAGGCTCTAGCACCTTATGAAGACTCTGGTAGCCATTCTCTCTCCCCTTCCCATGGTCTTCTTCAAAGTCTTCCCAGAACTCAAACCTAGAGATAAAGTAGTATTGTGTTACTTAGTTACATAAAGCACTTTTCCAATTAAAATTTATTTTAAAAGCAATTAGGTGGGGGAAAAAAATCTGTAAAAAAAAAGTCTTCCCAGACCTCCCCTGGTGGCACAGGCGGGTGAGCACCGCTCTGTGAAGCTGTCCACAGACTCTGCAGCACGGGTTCGATCCCAGCCTGCTGGCGAGGGTCCCACATGGCATGCCAGACCTCTCCTGTCACGCCCGCTGCTCCCCTCAGCAGTGTATTTCAGTCAGTCTGCCTGTTCTGCTCCCCACTCTGTCTCTGGTGAATATTCTCACCCTCCCGCACCTCTGGCCTGTACCCCAGTTCTTGCATAAACAAATATTTAAAAAAAAAAAATCACCAAACTGAATCCAGCAACAACTTTATTTATTTAAACATCATGACCAAGTCAGTTTTATCCCAGGAATGATAGGTTGACTTAACATCTAAGATGTAATTAAAGTAATAACCATATTGGTAAAGAACAAAAACCACATGGTCATCTCAATAGACACAGGAAAAAAGCATGTGAGAAAATCCAACACTCATTATAGAAACCCTTAAAAACAAGGAACAGAAGAAAACATCTTCTACCTGATAAAGGGTATCTATAAAAAAGCTACTGCTAACATCCTCTTCTCACCAATTCTATTCAAGATGAAGGTTCTGGCCAGTACAATAAGGCACGAAATAACACCCATATTGGAAAAGAAGCTTAACAGTCTTATCTTAGAGAAGCTGTAGAAAATACTGCTACAGAAAATACTGCTACAAGAAAATAAACAAAAACAGTGGGAATACATTTAACAAGTTCACAGGATTAGAGGTCAATATAAAAACATCGATTTATGCTAATACACTCTGAAAATTACATAGAAAATACAACTCCACTCAAAATCAAAATTCAAGTAAGTAGAAATAAATTCAGCAAAAGATATACAAAATTCATACCATGAAAACTTCTGAACACTGCTGAGATAATTACACATCTAGGTAAGGGGCAAAAACTAAGCATTGCTTAGTAGGTTCAATCTAAAGATGTTAAATGTCCCTGAATTAAAAGAGTCAACATAATCAAAATTCCAGTAGCTTCTCTTTTCAAAAATTAACTGATTTTAAATGCATGTAGAAATACAAAGGATCTAGAATAACCAAAATAATTTTGGAAAAAAAGAAAAAGTACAAAATTGGAACTTACACTGCTTTTAAAAACCAATATAAGGTTACAGTAATCAAAGACAGAGTGACACTGACATGAGGCAGACATACTTATCAATGGAAAAGAACTAAGAATTCAGAAATAAACCCTTACAACCTGTATGGTCTCAACTGATATTCAATTAAAAAAAATGAAGAAAGGATATTCTATTCAAGAAATGGCTCTGGGGGCCTCCCTGGAGGCCTAGGGGTTAAATCTCGGTACTATCTACCACCCCTACAGCCTGAGTTCCATCCTCAGCCAGAGAGCTACATATGGCACAGCAGACCTCTTCTGTCTTGCCCACTTCTCCACTTAACAGTTTATTTTGGTAAATCCACCTGTTCTACTACATCTCTGGTGAATTTGTCCTCACCCACTGCCCCTAACACCTCTGGCCTCCACCCCAGTTCTTCTGCGCAAAAAAAAAAAAAAAAAGGAAAGAAAGAAAGAAATGGCTCAGGGACAAATAACTCTCTACCAAAAAAATGTCATTCTACAAAAAATGAACTTAGGCTCACACACTTCACCTTGTAAACAAAAGTAAACTTAAAATAGAACATAGTCTAAATGCAAGAACTAAAACTTCTACAAGAAAAAAGCACACTTCATTAAACTTTTGAAAAATTGTACTTCATCCAATTTTTAAAACTTTTACTCTTCAAAAAACATTAAAAAATGAAAGCCACAAAGCAGAAGAAAATATTTGCAAATTATATAGTAGTAAGGCACCTGTATATAGAATACTTCAAAAATAAATTAAAAACCTCCTCAACTCTTATTAAGTTGTCTTAATAAGACAACCAAATTTTAAGGTTAAAACAGATAAAAGATTTGAATAGACATTTCGCCAAAGATATACAAATGACTAATGAACACATGAAAAGATGTTCTACATTATAAGTCATTATAAAGATGCAAGTCAAAAACCCCAATGAGATACCATTACACACCCATCAGAAGAACATGCATCAAAAAGATTAATAATATGCCAATTACTTTTGACAATAGAGAAACTAGTAAATTCAAACATTTCTGGGGGGAATGCAATTGCTTTGGAAAATAGTCCGGTAAACTTTATTTCCCAAATAACCCATCAATTCCATACCTAAGTATCAAACCAAAATACTAAAAGCATATCCATAAAGACACATAAAGACAGAAAGCCTCAAATAGAAACAATCCAAATGTCCATCAACTTGCTAGAAATACAGACAGTGGAGTATTACTCCGTAGGAAGAGAGTAACTACTGGTAAACTCTAGGACTTAGGTAAATCTCAAAATCATTATGCAAAGAGAAAGAAGCTAAAACAAAAGAGAACATATTAGATTATATGAAACTTCTAGAAAAAGTAAATTTGTAGAGTTGAAAGCTGATTAGGGATGCCTAAGACTAAAGGTGGAAGCAGAGATTACAACAATCAAGAGGGAACTTGCTAAGTGAGGGCAATATTCTTTAACTATATTAAGGTAATGGTTGTACAACTCTATAAATTCACCAAACACACTGAATCATTTATATTTACAATGGTGCATCTCATGGTATATAAATTATACTCAACAGACTGCTCTAAAAAGTTACCAACACGTGGGGCAAGGGATTACTACTCATTAGGCTGCCCAAAATGCCTGCTCAAGTTTATGCACACAGCAGCACTGGAAACTTTTCTGAATTTAAAAAAAAGTTGTGGCACATTTACCTGTCAATATGGATTGTTTAACTGAACTGTTTTCTGCATGCCAGATACCATTCTAGGCAATGTGGACCACTGATGAATAAAAGCAAACAAGATGGCTGCTATTTTTGAATGCATAAATTTAATAACATGAATGAAGCAGTAAATAAATGAAAAAGGGTACCATACAAATAATAAAAGAAGGTAAGGATGATAAACACATCTGTTAGGCTGTTTTAGGTTAACTATATGAGAAGATCTCAAGAAGGAGATGGCACATAAAAGCTGAGGAAGAAATATCAAGTAATGACTGTCCATGTGAAGACAAAGAGAAGAAAACTTCCTGAAAAAAAAAAAAGGGGCAGCAATGGCTTGGCATGATAAGGGGACAGAGTGACAACCAAATGGCTGGAAGCATAACGAATGATGAAGAAAGTAGTGAGGAGTCAGTGTTGTCAAGGGGCAAACTCAGTGGGGTCTTCAGCACATGGCAACAAATTCAAACTTCACTTTAAGAATCATCAAACACCACTGACTAATTTTAGGTTTCATAAAAGTGAACACTGGTCCTCCCTGGTGGCGCAAGGGGTTAGGCACCGCACTATGAAGCAATCTGCAGCCTCTGCAGCGCCGGATCGATCCCCGCCGGCCTCAGAGCAACCCACATGGCGAGCAGACCTCTCCTGTCTCGCCCGCTGCTCCCCTCAGCAGTGTATTTCATCAGTCTGCCTGTTCTGTTCCCCACTCTGTCTATGGTGAATCCTCTCACCCCCTGCATCTCTGGCCTGTACCCCAGGTTAAAAAAAAAAAAAGTGAACATCATCTCTGCCATAAAAACCTTTTCAGTAAGAACAGTCCACAATTCTTTGATCAGTTAAATATAAGAGCTATATATAGAAACAGCAGTTAAACACAGCTGATGCTTTGGTTTGAATATAAGATATATTTTAATACTTGTCCAGTTATGTACCTTGTATACTTCATTCAATATATAGAGTGCCTTATAACAACAGTAAGAAGATGTGACATTTCTTATCTACCAATTATTTCCCCAAAGTACTAACTGATTTAATCGTGTCATAGACAATATGCTTAGTTCTTTTACAGGTTAGTTTCTGTGCCTTCTGTCATTTATTATGGAATATATTACTACCTTTGTTGCTGCCTCAGTTTAATGTTTTGCTTTCCCCAAAGCAGGCCATTGTTTTCCCTAAGGTCTATTAAAAAAAAAATTTTTTTAAACATTGGCATGTCAGACATTCTCACATCTTTGAAATACAGAGGAAGGAGCTTACTTCTCCGGCATAATAAAGTGCAGCAAGGACCAGAGCTCTTTGAGGGAATTCTGAAGAGGGGTCCCCGTAATCAGGAGCCTATGGTTGGACTTGAAATCAATCAGAGTTTTATATAATAAAGAGTCATCATTCTTCAACCGATGGGCTTCGTCCACTCCCAGAAAGGCCCAGTTAATACTGCCCAGCACAGTCTAAAGTGAAAACAAAACAGAACGAGCCACCAGGTCAGAAGGGCACTGGAAAGTACTTTCAATGTTAATTATCTTTGTACAAATACCATCACAAAGGTACACACAGACACATATATTCTTCACTGACAAGGTATATTAGGACTCCTCTGTTTATTCCATTAGTTGTCAAATTGGTGTCTACTCAAAAGAGCACATCACCACCTACAAAGTATTAGTGGGTCACTTACACCAGGTATGGCCGTGAGGTATGTTCCAAGACAAGAACATTAAAAACTGGTATGCTGGGCAAAAACATGTGGCTTTCCAGTCTCCTCTAGATTGAGATTCTTCTATTGCCTATTCTCCATCCCAACCCAGAAGCACAAAAACACCAAGAATCACCAAGTTGAGCTTATTGACGCATATTAGCATCAATGAGAACAACTGCCACACACACATTATACGAAGTAATTATAGAAAAGAGTATTTAAAGGACTTCATTTTTCTACTCTCCTCATGGAGACCATCCACACCATCTGTTCTGGAGAAACGTCAGAGACGACATGATGGGAAACACCTGAGATAGCGCTCAGGCCCAGTTTCCAATGACTGACTAGAATTACAGGTACATTACAGGTGTCATACCCTTTCAGCCTGCTTGAATCAACTGCACGAAGGCACCTAAGGTCCCCTTGACCTCTAAGGCTTTCTGTTTCATTTATAAACTTAATGTTCTTTATAGATTTGTTTCCCTTTTCAAACAGGGAGAAAAATAACATGGCACATGGGAGCCGGAGCCCCCACCACTGAGAAACATCACTGCTCACGGGTGAAGCTTCTGGCCACCAGTACACACCTTGTCCTTGAGCAGGATCTCGTATGTGGTTATAAGTGCGTTGAACTTTAGCCTTTTGGTCTGAGAATGAATCCATTCATATTCCCGGATCTGTACGAGAGAACAGTAATTAAGATGCAATTTCCCCTTTTATCTTTCCTTATCACCAGAAGTCTTATAATAAAGTCAATAGCAAAATGCCAAATACAAAATAAATCTCATTAGAATTTAGCATCTTATCCCTTCTAAACTGAACCAAGCAACCAAATATAGAACAGTGAAAGAATTAAGAGTAATTAACCGATCACCTCACAGCAAAACTTTATAGTCAAAATTCAAATACAGCCACAGCACCCCCTCCCCACAACACACACCTAACTGAGAAAATGCACTGTTAGCAACCGAACCCCGGTGACTTGAACTAATCCAGAAATCTCCTGGAATGAGAATTTTCTTGCAGAAATGTATCTCAATTATTTTGGGTCTCAATTATTTTGGGTGTAGGGCAATACTCATTAACAAATAAAACAAATTTCAGCCTCTGGCTATCTCAAAAATTTCATTAATAATAGAACAGAAAGCTATGGGTCCCAAGAAAGAAGAATGGGAATCTCACAGGATGGAAACATCATTTAATATGAATGAAAATAACGTCAATGTAAAGGAACATAAGAAGTCACGTCTTCACCCTGAAGTTTAACTGGACACCCTGAAAGTACAATGGCCCATGACAAAGCCCTGGCAGTTTGGTTGTTAAGTCAGAACTGGGGACCAGTCCAGCAATGCCTACAGGTGATCACCAGCAAGAAGGAAGAGAGAACAGAGAAAAGCAATAACGGAAACTGCAGAGAAAACTACCTGACTTCACAATGTCTCAGAGTTTATTTTCTTTGTCTTCATTTTTAGAAGTAGCACTTGAAGACATCCTGCACAACCTAGGAAGTTTTTCTCTTAATGGATTAACAAAGCTAAGAACTACCATTTGCTTAGAAATTCAAATTTAGGGCAATAAAATCTGCCAGAGTTAAGGTTAGGCAATGCTGATGAAAATATTTGAGAAAAATAAATCTGAATTTGCATGCTAATATGATTATGCTGCATCTCTCAAGGGGTTGAGAATTCCTAAAGGCTTGTTCTGATCATAAGCAAACCCCCCAGAAACAGTTTACTTATATGAAGTAGTAAAGAGCAAATGTCTAGGACCAGACACCTTTGTCTCAACCCCAGCTCTACCATATTCTAGCTAGTCTGGGACAAGCGTGGGACTCTCTGAATCAATTTCTTCACAAGTTGGTTGGAAATAATAGCACCCACTTTGAAGACTATCATGTGAATTACATGTAACATACTAGGCCCTGCACAGGGCCTAGTACGTAACAGGTGCTTTATAAAAAGAAATTATCAAGAAAAGGTTTACTAAACAGAAATAAACACAATCCCCTGGGCTCTATGTTCCTGATGGTCAAGTTAAGTTTGAAAAGACAATTCTCATTTCTGCCCCCCTAGAATGGCTCATCATCATTTCTCTATTCCTTATTACAGGTCATGTACCCTCACCATTTACATGGAAGGTTGAAAAACAATTCTAAGAACTCAATTATTTTCAGTAATTTTTTTGCTCTGATAGTAAAAATAAGATTACTGTCCCAAAAGGTATTGGAAACAGAAACAACAGAGAGAAGAAATTTACTGCTACAATCTAACTTAAAGTTTCTCACTTGCTTATTGCTAAACCTCTTCATTAAATAAAGCATTAAGGGAATGTATGAGTTGAAACTTTGTGACACATACACCTTCCAATACCAGGGGCATAACACAGAACCATAACTTTGTGATTTACTAAAGACTATAATGGCTTTAGATAAATTTCCTAAATACATTCATATTTATAACAGAGTCTATCCCAATTTTTGTTTACACACCGTATTTCTGCTCATCAGGTCACCTATGTAAACCACTACGTTAATCTCTGGTGCCCAGATTTCAAACTCCCTCTGCCATGAGGTGAGGGTGGATAAAGGGACGACTATAAGAAAGGGGCCATACAGCTGGTGTTGGTGGAACAGGTAGGAGAGGAATGATATGGTTTGGATGGTCTTTCCTAGGCCCATTTCATCAGCAAGGATTACACTGTTACTTCTGCGGAAAGAAAAAAACAAAAATAATTATTAGCTCACCAGAAAAATAGTATGTGCACCAATAGCAATGACACCCATGCCTCACAATGTCAGCTGAGCAAGACATCAATTCTAGCCTCAAATGCACTTTCTCTCATTTATAATTACTTACGCCTCTACAAAAGGAAGATAGTAGAAGGTTAAAGAGTGGAATAACAAGTGCTCTAAGTTGTTGTCCACAAGCACATGACCATGCATTCCATCGATACAGAAAGCAGAGTAGACAGGCCACCCTGATGGCGGTGATCCCTACTCTACCATCTGACAGTCACGTGCCTTTACTCAAATCACCCACCCACTCCACTGCATACCACTGGCAGTGTAATGCTGCTGATACTGACCATGATGGCACAGAGCCTGCTTTAATTATACTACACTCCACAGCTAGCGGAGGCTGCAGATCCCATTTGTGAGCCACTACCTCCAACTTGACCTACTAGATGAAACTATCTGGGGAACAGCTCAGGAATTTGTATTTTTAACAAGCACTTTTGGAGATTCTGATGCAGAATCTTGCAGAATCTTTGGTCTGGGCTCCTAGTACCAAACTTTGAGAAACACAGTTTTAGCATATGGACTGGATTTCAACAGGAAAAGATTGTCCCGATGTAAAAATTAAAATTTGTAGAAATGGCCAGAGTGAGGAAAGCATGGTCAAGAAATATAAAATAGCCCATTGGGCGGGAAATTAGGAATACATGCATGACAAAAGGCTGCAAACATTATGAAAAGATTCTATAAAACCATGTCACTGGGAACCACATCACAAACACACCTCTTACAAGCGTTAACGTAAAGCAGAGGGAATCAAAAGGAATATACAAGTTAAAGTTGACTTAAGTGATTAGAAAAACATTTAGTTCACCAAGAATGAAGATTTTAAAAATACATTCAGTGTTCCAAAGAATGACTAATTCTAGAGGGCAAGTACAGAAAAGAACAAAACCATGTACAGGGAGAACGAGGAGGCCATCCATACCACCACAAATCTCAGGTACACTGAAGTTCAGACACAGCGTTCTCCTTTGAGTATTTCCCCCTTATATTTCTCTCACCCTTCCACACTAATGGGGGAGGAAACAGGAAAAATTTTCTCCAGTATCTCCTCTCCTGACAAGTTGTCACTGTCAACAAATATGCACTTAAGTAGACTTGAATTGATTTACCTGTTTTCCTAAAACTAGACCAAAATGATCTGTTACTTTCCGTAAGGTTCCTGTGACCAGGGCCGAACTGCTGTTTGGGCCTGCTGCTTGGCTCTGAATTGGTCAATTTAAAGTACAAAACACTGGCCAAGGCTTCTACATGAAACGTGTGACACGGAACACAGTACTTCAAGACACCTTTGCTCCTAAGAGCCCTCAACTGTATATGGCCTTAAGGATCAACCTAGCTTTATCCTTTCTTCCTTTAGGAAGAGCCTCTGAAACAAAAATAGTTTTCAAGCAATTCAAAATAAGTATTATCAGGATCTACTTTCCAGCCATATAAGCTGAAAAACCTCCTTAAAACCTCCAATTTTCACAAATGAATGTTAAACACTGTATTAGATTTTGTACAATAAAGAGTGGTGTGTGGCTCATTTGGGAAACAGTCATTATAAATGTGGCTCTATAACTAGAAACCACCTTTATTGCACTGAGAAAAGCTCACATTTCTATTTTCAGGCTGTGGTTTAGCTTTGTAGTAAGAATTTTTGCTTTACTATGAAACACTGAAGAAATGAAGAGTTTGCATATGGGGGAGGAATATTAAAGTATGCATCGAAGGTACCTGTCACACCGCATGTTCTACGAGGACAGGGAAATGATGTCTGTTCACTGCTTAGTTCTCAAATCCTAGATGGGTCCCTAAAACTTAGTAAGTAGGCACACCTGAATGTACAAGTGAATTTGGAGAATAAAATTTAGGAGTACTACCTCAAAGTACCTTTAAACCTCAAGTGCTATCATTGGTTCATCTCTCTCTTTTTTTGCAAGATGAAAGTGGTTCTGCTACAAAAAAGAAAGGAAAATTCCACATGTTTAATTGTCCAAGAGCTTTCACTAAATGGTTTGGACAGAACAGTAGAGTCAGGTGGGGTACACTCACATACTCTACAGAAAAACTAAGTTTCCTTGAAAAGAAATTAAGTTAAAGGTTTCCCTGGCTTAGAATGAAAATGAATTTAAAAAGATATTTTCTTATATATTCTGAGAATAACTCCTTTCACACCAAATATTTGGGCAAATTAACTTGCTATTTATATTCATGAATAATATTATGATACATGTTTCTGGCTATGACAAATTACCCCCGCACCCCCCCCCCCAAAAAAAAAACCAATAAAGTATTTTTGCCTCAGATTAAAATCTCCCAGGTTGGGACTTCTCTCAAGTGCACGATTTTATTTCTATAATATACAGTTGAGCAAGAAGTAATCTTTGCATCCAGCAATAAAGAAGCCAGAGAACAGTAAAGGAAATTGCAAACATCTTTTTCTACCTACTTGCACCAGGAATGCGCAAGCCAGTTGAGACCTTCTAGCTGATAATCACGGAGCTCCAGATTCTCCCCTCCTAAATAAGTTGGTTGTTTCTTTAAAGCCACAAATCGTGGTCTCTGCTTCAGGGCCTAAGGAAAAAAAGTTAACAAAGTCCAAATAAAGAGAACTTTCCTCTTGTTCCTCTGTTAAAATGCTAGTTATAACTTACATGCTCAGCACCAAAGCAAAGACATTCACATTTGACATCTTTCTCAGCACCCCCAGCCCGGTCCACAAGCCATCCCTGTGGTATATACTCCAGAGTCAGACTGCAACTCAAAATATCATTTAGCTAACTTGCTCCTTCGCTGAATTAAGTCTGTGAACATTGTCAAGTGGCACATACATCACATCATGTCCACTGTGTAGCAGTGAGCCTCCTGGCTTCATCTTTGCTATTTCATTCAAAACTGTACAAGTGATGCCTCTGAAGAGGTCTGTCATGCTGTCTGCGGCCAAAGCAGAACTTTGCTACGGCAGCATTTGTAAACCCTGAAAATGCAGCCCACCAACTTTAAACCCCCAACTACGTGATTATGGTTTCTGAAGGAAAGACTGCTATTTTCACCTCTGAAGGTATGAAGAAAAGCAATCTAATAAGGTCATGTCTCTATGGTTTGCAAAAATGTAGATTCCATGGCCTAATCAGCTGGAAACAAAGGATTAAAAATATATACAAATTTCACTAGCTGTGACTTTTCAAAGTAACATGCCTGTGTGTATTATGAATTCACAAGAGACACTTACTCTAGAATGCTTCTCAAAACTATTTGATTACAAGCCTTTTTTCAGAGCACATTTCTCTGAAGAATAGCACCCCATCAGGAGAAGTACCGTACCACAGTCAATTAGATATAGTAACTCTTGGTAGTTTCAGCTGTCGTCTTTAAATACCTGGCAGTAAATGAAATCTTTTTTTTTTTTTTTCAAGATTTATTTATTTATGCACACAAGAGATGGGGCACAGGCCAGATGCACGGGAGGGTGAGAGGATCCACCAGAGACAGAGTGGGGAACAGAACAGGCAGACTGACTGAAATACACTGCTGAGGGGAGCAGCACGCGAGACAGGAGAGGAATGCCTCGCCATGTGGGTTTCTCCCTGGCTGGGGATCAAACTCTTGCTGCAGAGGCTGCAGATTGCCTCACAGTGCGGTGCTTAACCCCTTGCACCACCAGGGAGGCCAGTAAATGAAATCTTACTCCTCACTCTCACCAGCCAAAATCCGGCTGTTCCCTCCCACCAAGCCCCCCGTTGATGCCTCTCCCATACAATCCTCACACTCACAAACTAATTCTTCCTTTATAGACATCTCTGACATCTTCCTGGTTGGAGCAGATTCTCTAACTTAATTTGAATAAGCACGCTTCTTACACGCTGCCTACAGATGGAACTTTCTAAAGGAAATCCTGTTTTCAAGTTGCTGCTCTTCTCAAAAGGGTAAGTTTATCAAAACCCAGTCCAAATTCTTTCAAGGTTCTCAAGACACACACACACTCTGACCTACTGAACTAACCACATCACACCGCCCTCTCTTCTGGCCACGGCCTCCAGGCATCCTCCAGCTGCACTGTGTGAACATCTCAGGGGAAGGCCATCACCTGGGCCCCTCTGTCCGTCTGCCCAGCACCCATCATTCTTTCAGGACCAGGGTCAGCTCGAGGGCTACAACTTCCTCTCTGAAGCCCCTTCAGTGACACTGGAACTCAGTGACCTCTGTCTCTATCACACTCATCAGATATTGCTTTTCACAGAGGGAAGGCCTGTGCCATGAACAGGAATGTCACCTTCTCAGAGACAGAGCCCCATGTCTGACCTTTATTACTGAGGACCAAAGCACTCCATCTGAGAGAGAAGATAAATTCCAGAGAAGGAAAAGTATTTGTATAACCAAATCTAACAAATAAAAAAGGCTATGTATTTAATTTCTAAGGTAGAATCCAGAGATGCTCCCTTTCCCCATTACTTCTTTAAAATGCTTAAATCCTTTCAAGTATCCACAATCTCCCCTAGAGATTATCTGTCAGTCATAAGATTTAAAGAAGTTAACAGAGCAGTATCTCTCATCACCTTTGTTTTCATTCCTCTTCTTGGATGTCAAGGTTAAGTCATCTTTCCCTTCAAAATGGGAATTACATTTCTTTGTATAAAATTTTCTCCTCCTATTATCTGTGTGACCAGCCCTTTGAATCAATACATCTTTCCCCTGAAAAACCAAAACCCTGTGGCCGTCACCCACCTTGCATTCTCTTGTGGGAATGGTTTTAGAGTTGTTCCGACTGTGGAAGCTATCGATGCAGCTCTGGAATTTCTTCCCAATCAGGGCTTCATCCTCCCAGCTGCACTCTGAATAGGGCAGCCCCATCCATTTGCATAGATACTCCGGTTCATTCGAAGGTGCTGGCTTCCGACTATGAGCTATTTCACATGGAAAAATGTATAGATCAGCAACTGTCAATTAGAGGAGGGGAATGACAGTCTGCTTGACACACAACCAGTGACACAGCACATGGCAAAACTCATCACTGCAAAACAGGGACTGTTCTTACATGCTAAATCATACTTATAAACAAGATCTCTTGCTTACCTGGGAAATCTGTCTGACCCAATGCAGATTTACTTGTCTTCACAGCTAAACAAACACAAAAGAAGAGAAAAATGATCACTGTAAACAGTGATATTTTTGGTTCCATGAACAAGCATACATAAATGCTCTACTCTCTTACATCTCACTGCCCTCTCCAGCTGTCACAAGCCTCTCTGTTCTGATGCTCTGCAGATCACACTTTAGAAGCAACCCTTCCCATTCTCTCTAGAACCCACCCCAATCAGGCCTGTAAATTCAAGGGTCAAGCCTCAGTCCTCACTACCTGACCGGCAGCATTTCCTAATCTGAGCCCTGTGATCACACGGCTCCAGCACACACACTGCCTTCAGTCTCATTGGCTCTTCATTCTCAGCCTCCTTTGCTGGTTCCAAAAGCTGGAATTCTTTCAGACTTCCTATTCTCAGCATGTATACTCTACTTCTGATGATCTCATGAAATCTGAGGCTTTAAATACTACCTAAATACTGATAACTTTCCCAAATTTAAGTATCCAGCCAGTCTAAGAGTTCTAACTACAGGCTCACATATCACAGCCTTCACAATCCTCTCTACTTAGATACCTGACAAGAACATCAAACTTAAAAAGATCAAACTGAGTTCTTTTTTTTTTTTGTTTTTGAAGATTTATTTATGTATGCATACAAGAACTGGGGTATAGGCCAGAAGTGGGCGTGGGGGGGGGGCGGTGAGAGGATTCACCAGAGACAGAGTGGAGAATAGAACAGGCAGACTGACTGAAATACACTGCTAAGGGGAGCAGCAGGCAAGATAGGAGAGGTCTACTGTGCCATGTGGGCCACTCCCTGGCCAGCCGGATATCAAATTTGCGCTGCAGAGGCTGCGGATAGCTTCACAGTGCTATGTTTAACACTTTACGCCATCAGGGAGGCCAATCAAACTAAGCTCTTGATTTCCACTCCAAATATTAGCCCTTCTCTTGATCTTTCCATTTTTTTTTTTTTTTTTTTTTTTTTTAAAGATTTATTTATTTATTTATACAAGCACTGGGTACAGTCAGAAGCGCGGGAGGGCGAGAGAATTCACCAGAGCCAGAGCGGGGAGCAGAGCAGGCAGAAGGACCGAGGTACACTGCTGAGGGGAGCAGCGGGCGGCAGGAGAAGTCTGCGCGCCATGTGGGACCCTCCTCCGGTGGCCGGCGAGCGGCCGGGGATCGAACTGGTGCTGCAGAGGCTGCAGGCAGCTTCGCAACCCAGCGCTCAACCGCTGCGCCACCAGGGAGGCCCTGATCTTTCCATTTTAATAAATGGTGGATCTAGTCTCCCATTGGCTCAGGTCAAAAATCTTGGCATCATCTGTGACACCTTTATCTTATCCCCCACATCCATGGTTACCAGCAAATCTTGTTAGTTTTTCCCTCAAAATAAATCTAGGCATTTATTCTCAAAAAGTAAACCCATTTTTGCATTATTTTATTTGCATTATTCCTGGAGCTCAAACCCTGACAGACCTCCATATACTTACCTATCACTCTCTCTACTATCTGATACTGTTTGTTCAACTCTGAGGCCAGCTCCTGTTGGCAGCTAAAATACTCCACATCTTCAGGAGAAACTTTCCCTAACCTGGAGAGAAGACAGGAAGAACGAGCACGTACTGATTACATTTGGGAATTTATACACATATGTTGAAGCAAAGCCAAAGATAGTAAAGGAATCAGTCTTTCCCCCACCTGCCCCTTTGGTAATCTTTTACCAGCAATTAGAGAGTTTACAAAACACGTACACTATTAGAAAACACTGAGAACCTTATAGTCAAGGGACACAGCGGCAGTTCTCTGCTATGTGGCCTACTTATAAAGAAATGAAAAATAACTATTTATATGTTAAGTTCGTGTGATAAACTCACACGCCTAACAATTTCTAATTGCTTTACAATCTATCTTAGGGATACACATTTTTGGTTCTGATCAATACATGATTTACTGAGGCAGCACATTTTGCTTAGTAGTAAAAACTGGAATTAGAAGCTACCTGTCCCTATTTCTAAAACACAACAAACAACCTGCTCACATTAACTAGCACGTTTTCCTTTAAGGTTGAACCTGACACCTCTTACTCGTTCCCTTAGATTTGCACATATTTCATATACAAACTAACACATTCAAAGGTGTAAGTACACTCAAAACCCCATTGGTTGTCAGTTTCAGAAGTTATGTTTTTGCCACATCATTTCTGAAGACTGCAAACCAAGATAAGTTTTTAGTGACTCATAACCAGAGCTCGAGGATATTAATACCTGAGATCTAAATGACCCCAGCATAGACACTGGAAAATAGCAGGGTGCTTAAGACCTTGGGTTCTGGACACAAGCTGCCAAAATTCAAATCCTGGGTCCATTTGCAGAGTTGCTCTTGTACCTCATTCTTCACACATTCTTCATGAAATTTTGTACAAGGGTACAAATCTCACAGTCTCACAGTACAATCAGTAAAGAGATCCAATATAAAAAAGATAATAATGCTTCACATGCTAGTTGTTATTATTAAACTACAAATTTGGTGGCCAAATATCATCAACCACAGGTTAATGAAATGGAATGGCAGATGGCTCCAGGTTCAGTGATCAAGGAGCAATTTGAGATCCTAGATAGCTGTGTTCTCCAGGAATTATTTAAAAACCTTCCCTTTCCTCAGGTTGCATATACATTTCTTTAACCTATGACAGAATATTTACCATTGCTTGATTTCATCTTCTTTCTTCTTGAAGTTCTCTAGCTTTTTCAGGCCCTTCACTTTCTGCTGCTGTAAGGATTCTTCACTCTCCCATGTGCTATGGATGTAAGACCAGCCCTTCCACTTGATGAGGTACTGGACTTCACCTTCATCCTTTTCAGTGTCAAAGTCACCACTCGGGTCGCCATTAGCTTCAATCGCATACACAGTAGTGGAAGCTCCAGTGGCTGCAAAGGGATTCAGTTAAACTTTGAAAAGCAAAATAACCAGACTCTAAAAAGTTTCCCAAGTAAGTTAAAAGAGTTAAAGAGTCTTTTTGAATGAAACATCAAAACACTCTGATGTGAAATAAGCAGAAATTCAGACAATACAGGATGAACAAGATCATAATTGCAAGTATTATCAAAATGCAAATCCAAATTTCACAAGTTTAAACATATTCCAAAATTTGCAGGTGAAATTGAAAGAAACTCTTGTGCCCAAACACAATAAAATGGAATAACAACATCCTTTTGTTTAGGTCTAACTCAGAAAACAAATCTATCGACCCAGGAATATTAAGACTAAGGTAAGAAAATCATCTCTCTCCCCTCCTCACCCATTCACCCAAAGTTTTCTGTTAATTCTTTTTTTTTTAAAGAGGCACGTATTTTATTTATTTATTTATTTGTTTGTTTGTTTGTTTATACAAGCACTGGGTATAGTCAGAAGCGCAGGAGGGTGAGAGAATTCACCAGAGCCAGAGCAGGCAGAAGGACCGAAGGACACTGCTGAGGGGAGCAGCGGGCGGCAGAAGAGGTCTGCGCGCCATGTGGGACCCTCCTCCGGTGGCCGGGGAGCAGCTGGGGATCGAACCGGCGCCGCAGAGGCCGAGGGGAGCCTCGCAACCCAGCGCTCAACCACTGCGCCACCAGGGGAGGCCCCTGTTAATTCTTTTTAATCTCATGTGAAGTTGAATGGGGAAAAAAGACAAAGAAAAAGGAACTGAATATTGTTTTGATATTTAATATAGTAACCTATATGGAAAGATTATTTAGAGAAATTGAGATACAAATTATCTCAACTTGGATGTTAAAAAATTTTCACTATCAATCAAATATGTATTTAACCAGTGTGATACTTTTCACAAGAATATTCGGAAGCAACTAACTGAAGGTCAGTTTGTTTAATACGAATAAGAGGAAATCTCTACTACACAGGTGTTTTTAAAAATATTAACACATTTTCATTAACTTTGAGATTTAAAAGCTCAAAGATATATATACTGGATATATCCCTGGATCCGCAGCTAATGAAGAAGACTGCATCAGAAAACTTTCTCTTTCACAATAAATACAGGACATGGAGTGAAATTCATCATTTCAGAGTTGAAATAAAGTTTCCTAAGCAGACATAAAAAAGATTAGCTTCCAAAAACACATACCTCCTTTCTTCCCCAGCCTTGAGTCTAAGACCTTCTCAATAGTCTCACTGTTATCCTGCTGTTCATCAACCCCTTCTCCAGTCATTTCAATGAGGTCATCTGAGTCAGTCTCAAAGTCATCATCCTCTTTGTAACTGCATGAAGAATAAAGTTCAACAAATAAGAAAATGCCTTTTCAGAACTAAAAAGAAATAACCTAACACCATCAGAATAAGGAACTGCACCTATCTGGCTCCAACATGCTATTTTACAGATCAAGATCTTTTTTTCCTGCTGCAGGAGGGTTATCTCATGTTTTGGAAATAAAAAAGGACTATATTCACAGCAATTTGTGTAAGCAAGCATTAGGAAACTACAAAAATAGTCTGTGTTTTTGTTGTTTCTTTTTTTAATGAGATCATTTTTACGTAAACAAAGGAATAACTGGAAGACTCACAATGAATGGGGGAAAATGCTACCATTTCAATAGGTAAAAGAGAAGCAGTATTTCTAAGATTAAATGTTTCAACCCTGTATTTTATCACCCAATAACAAGAATATGAAATTTAAGTGTTAATTGTTAAGAACTTTAATAAACCTACTTCCTGATATTAAAATTTGAAAATGTAAGCTTCCATCACATATTAACAACAAATGGCTTGAGAAAAACCATCCCAGATGCAGTACAAGTGTAAGAAGAAAAAGCAGTAAGCTCTCTTTCTCAGAATTAGAGAATTAGTCACTGGACAGGACTAAGATCCATTTCACCTCCTCTAAGTAGACTAAAAGAAATCTATATGTCCTCCAAAAGAAAATTAAGTGCCCTTTGATTCACAGAAAATAAAATATTAATATTGGCATGTACCTATTCTTTTATTTCAATTTCTATTACGCTTCATATCTATTAGCAAGCTTGAGAAAATTATTATACTCAAATACCATTACATAAGCTGAACCTAGAAGAATCTGTCTTGATTCAAAAAGCAATTCAAAAGTGAGAATATAATTCAAACATCTTTCCTAAAGTGATGAAAGACCTGGAGGTATCATCACTAGGCCAGCTCAATAGCACATAGCTTGAAGCACTTTTCTTGACAGGAATGAAGGTTTGAAATGAGCTGTCACCATTTCCTCTAGATTCCTATTGGCCAACCACTCTTCATGTAAGAATACTAATCAGGGCTTCCCTGGTGGCCTAGGGGTTAAATCTCAGCACTATCACTATGATGGCCCACTGTGGTGGCCTGAGTTCAATCCCTTGCCAGGGAGATAACCCACATATGACACAGCAGACCTCTCCTATCTCGCCTGCCAGTACCTTACCCCTTGCACCTCTAGCCTACACCCCAGTTCTTCTATACAAAAATAAAATCTTAGGGAAAAAAAAGAAAGAACACTACTCAGATTTCAGAATACAACATAAAGACATTACCTCTGCCTATGAAATGTATGCCCCTCAACTTAACAGAAATCATGTTCTAGCCAACTACAATTGCCCTCAGACTAGTGAAAACCTCTGCGACATAACCTACCTAACATTTTTAGCCGCCCTGCGACGAGTCTGCCTTTTGGGGGCCTCATCATCTTCATCATCATCATCAGAGGAATCTTGCTTTTTCCTCTTTCCACGCTGAGTCTTAGGTTGCTTTTTAACACGTGATTTGGGCACTGTTCTAAAAAGGGAAGTGAAAAAAAGACAATGTTTTTACTCCATCATTTGATGTGTATTTCAAATCTCTATGACAGAATTTCCCAAAGCAAGGGTATATATGTACATACATACATGCATGGGATTCACCAGGTGAATATTAGAAATATACATTCCTGGGTCCCATTCCTTGAGATTATAATTCATTAAAAACCTGCATTTGCAACGTGAAAATGAGTCTAATGCCCACAGCCCTCAATCTTTTATAGAAGATACAATAGGTTTTGAGGCAAAGGTTCTATTTATTCCTCTGGATCACCTGATATAAAATTATACAAGGGGTGTGTCACTAATGGCACCTTGTTGCCAGGCAATGTGGAAATATCTAACTTACAAATATAACAATTTTACTACTGGGATTGATCTTACATATACAGGCATAATTCACTGTAACATTATTTGCAATAATAAAAGATTAGAAATACTCTAAATGTTCACCAACAAGGAACTAATTTAATAAATACTATGTGGTCATAAAAAGGAAAAGAAAAAGGGACTGTATGATACGGAAAAATTCCCAATAAAAGAAAAATACAAAGTAAGCTGCATGGAATGCTACCATCTCTATAAAGTGAATAAAGGCCAAGAGTTAACCATACAGATTTCCTCATATGCGCACACACTACACCTGGAAGACCACTGAGACCATGACCAGTCACAGAGCCATGGAAAGTCTGAAGTGAGGCCCAATGGCAACTCCCAGACACAGCCAGGACTGGAAGGCTAGTCTAGGGTTCTCATCAGGAACTCCCCAAATACTGTATCAGGGATAAAAAGACGGACAAAAGAGGAAAGGACAAAGAAGGAGATGGAAACTCAACATCCCACTCTCTGTCTCTCTCAGCCACCATCACCAATACTACCCAGGGTTTCAATAAATGAGGGATAAAATCTAAGAAGAAAGAACTCAAGTGGCATTCCAGTCCCGAGAGCTTAAACTCAGACAAAAGGAGACAGAACTCAGTTGATGGATTTCCCTTTCTTTGGGTGGGGGGAGGGTGTTGAGGGGGAAGTGGTACAGGGAGTAAGTACACTGTCCTAAGCCAGGGAGAGGCAAATGTTTTCTCTAAATGGCCAGAACATAAATATTTTGCCAGACAAAAGGCAAAATTGAGACTACTATGTTGGTATTTACATACAAGTGAAAACAAAATTTTATAAATTATTTGACAAAGTTCAAAATAGTCATTGAGTATAATTTTAGTGATACTTACCTACTGATGAGAAGAAAAGAATTCTTTCTGAAGGGAGATTTCACTTAATGGAGGTTCAAACTTACTATTCCCTATCATCCTATTATATATTATACGTGTTCATTTCAGGCTACATAAAAGTGATACGTGGATTTTGGCCCAAAAGCAATAGCTTCCAAAGACCATTCAGAGTAAAACTACAAGGAAGTCCAATTTCCTGGGGCTTCTCTGTCTCCTGCCTTCCTTTCCCCATCACCAGTACTTTGTATTGCCCTCTGTGTAATCACATACCATCAAATTCACCTGCTCTCTTTTTCTCTACAGTCACATCCTCTGCTTAACATTATGTAGACTATATTAACAATGTAATAAAGTAAAGTATGCTTCCAAACAGTATTTTAAACTTAAGAATCAGGTCTCCTAACAAAAACCTGAACACCTGCCAAACACATGGGAGCTTTTATTAAAAATGGAAGACAGACTGTTCCTAGTAACTAGTCCACCCTGGAGTAAGAAAGTTAAGATTCACTCTCAGAGACACATACCCTGTAAACAATCACAACCAATATAAATAGCCAGCCCAGTTATCTAATAACTTGCCGATGAAGCAGGCTGGCAAGAAGTGAACCAGACATTCAAAACCCTGACTCACAATACATAGGATCCCAGCAATGTAGTCTCCCCACCGCTGCCGCCAGCAATGCATCTCCCTCCTCATACATTCAAGCAAACATGTACCTTCTGGGGACGGGTCTTCTGGCTTTCACTCTTTTTTGCTCTGGCTCACTCTCTGCACTGCTACCTTGTTCTTGTTCATCTTCTGAAGGTTCCCGTTTCCATTTTTCTCTGTGATCAAAAGCAAAGTAAAATGATTTTTTTCTAAAAGAATTCTTCACAATTGTTGAGCTTGAAGAATCTGACAAAACTGATTTTGAACTGACTATCCAAAAGACAGAACATGCCTATTTTAAATATTATGCTGAAAGAGAGTTATTCTAACTCTTTCAAACTTCAGTTGTGTTCTATTCCAAATTTATCTCTGGTAACAAAGCTAAATGAAAATGTAAACTAAGGATGCATTTTTAAACTATCTGTTGCGCAAAAAATTTCTCACATTCTATTTTGATTTACTAATATTAATGATAAGATAATGCCAAAGGTTATGCAAGTGGATCTCAAATTCCAGCACAGATCAGAAGCACTTAAAGGGCTTGTTCAAATATAGATTCTAGATCAGAAGATCTAAGATGAGGCCTAAAAATTAGAATTTTAACAAATTCACAGATGATGCTGATACTGGTTAGAGACTTCTTTGAGAACCACTATACTATTTTAACATCTTTAGAAAGTATTTGTGGAAATACACTCTAAAATTATTTTTTAATGATAAACCTAGCAGCTACTAAATAATCTATTAAACTAACAACATAATTTTAAATAATTATTACATATAGTATGTATCCCTTGCTCCTTGAGATCTTAGAAGGCTTGACAGAGCCATAACCAAGTGGTGTCCTACTACCCCAGGTTTTGAAATTTACTTGAAGACCAAACAAGGAATCACAGAAACCTTGCTCATTTCTCCCTTGTAGCAAAGAAGGAAGGAACATATAATAGCTACTGGGTATTTATTATCCAGGGGGAAAAAACTGAAAGGAAAGTGCCTGGAGAGCTCAGTAAACAAACAATTGCCACTGTGCCACTGGCACCATGTACAGGAAAGGAGGCCATGGCAAAGACAACTGCTGCAGAGTGGCAAAACCAAATCAATGTTCTACATGGGAGAACAGGTCCAAGTAACAGCAGAAGCCTCCTGCAAGAAAAGCAGCTAATCTGAAGACTCCTGAGACCCTTCAAGAAGGGCCTACCTTGTTTATGGAGACTAGGGAAAAATATTCCAAGTCTTCCATGAAAAGGCAGTGGAGCACTTTTCTGTAGACTACTCAAATCCGCCACACATCCATTTCATTAATAGCAGGACACTCCCTGTGGGCAAGGTCACTTGTTCACCTTTGTAACAGAGTTTAGCACAAAAGGCAGATGGAGTTGTGCCTTTGTTAAATAAAGAAACAGCCAAAGATGCTACCATCAGGGAAGTGGGATGTTTTGGGAAACCAACTGGTCAGGACAGAAAGGCCTGACTGATGTCCTGAGAGCTTCAGTCTCACTTTAAAACAAAGGCCTCCTTCTATCTACCTACGCTCTGGTCACTTGTGTCATTCTGCTTCCTCAGAGCCCAGAACAATAATGTGTGCTAAAGAACTCAAGGAATAGAAGATGATCGCCAAGAAAGAAGATGCACTACTGGGAGGTTGGCCCATGAGTGTGTAATCGTCCAAGTCCAAAACAGTTTACCCTAAAGAAGGGAATCCTACAAAGTGGAGATAAGGGCTGTCACAGGAAATGGGTTTGAAGACACATGAGCAATTAAGACCTGAAGGAGAGCAGCTCAGGTGAGAAAGGTCCACAGAAAAGTCTCCGTAGTAATTTAAAAACAATACCAGGAACTGAGACTCTAAATCAAAGCAGTTAATGAGATCCACTTCCACAAGTTTGGGAGACTAAAATGGTGGTGAAGAGAGAAAGGATATTGAGAGTTAAAATTTTCCAGTTAAACTGCAGAGTTATAAATTTACTGGACAAGCAGGACTTGCTTAAGATTCTTATCAGAATCTTCTGATAAGAAAGTATTTTTAAAAAATCAGCAAAGCAATTGGTCTAAAGACCTCTTCCTTGCGAAGGAAACCAAAGCCCGTTGAAAACAGGTAGTCTGGCCACATGCCAAGCCCTCAGCCCCTGCTCCCAACCATTCCCACAGAAGATCAAAGATGGGGTGAAAGTGAATCCAGTTCACACACTAAGAGAGGATCTTAACACTGGAGGCTCAAAAGCCCTCAATGAGTTTTATGTATGTGTATTTTAAAACTGGCTGGATTGTTTTAACTTTGATTTTCAAGAAAAGAAAAAAAACTCAGGATCAATACTACTAAGTTACTTTGTATACAAGGAGTGAGGTGAAACTAGTGATCAGTTACAAAAAAATTATTTCCCAATCCTGCTGATGAATAAGGCACTTCAACAAGGGGAACAACTGTCCATCTAGATTACTGGTTTCCTATAAAATGCAAATTTTATAAGGAAGACTTCCTAAGTCACACATTGCTAAGTCTATAGTGAAGGAATTTTAAAATATAACATTTAAATTCTTCATGTTAAAGACTTGAATTTCCAGATCCAGCTCTAAAAGTACCTCAGTGGAATTCCCCTAAGATTCCTGATAAGGGAATCAATGGGATTTTTGCCAAAATTTTGGAAACTGGAGAGAAATATACCAAGATTTGGTCAAAATGCATTTTACCTGGGTATAGTTTTCTCCCCTTACTGAGAAAAGGGGACTGGTGGGACCAAACTCCCGTGAAACAAATCAAATCTAAACAACTGTAAAAAAGGGAATGAACAAAAGCCATTTAAAATAAAACAAGCCTATGGCCTCCCGTGGTGGCACAGCGGTTGAGCACTGGGTTGCGAGGCTGCCCACAACCTCTGCAGCACCGGTTCGATCCCCCGGCCGCCGGCGAGGGTCCCACAAAAAATAAATAAATAAAATAAAATAAAACAAGCCTAAACCCTGGCCACCAGTCACTGAGGCTGCTATGTAAAACAACTGTCAGAGACCGCAGAAAGGAATTCCTTTCTCCTCCACTTTAGAAGGCAGATGAGTGGGAAAGGACAGCAGCTGCTTTAACTTCCCTGACTTTCAGGAGATTTTCCCAGGGACAATGCTCCCCTGGGACAAATTCCAAAGGAAAAGGTAAAATCTAGGGTTAACAGGGTTCTCACTCATTGTGTCACAGGGGCGAGAGTTTGTTCCCACTCAAGACCCTGGCACAGAACTCAAGGCAAGAACAGAAGACATTGCTATGATCCCAAGAGAAAAACTTCAAGTGATTATGGCTTAAAATACTTTTTAAAATTCCAGTTGGGAGAAATGGTTCTGGAACAATGATGGAAAGACTATCAGCACTACTAAAATCTTACCAAGTAAGCAGAAACCCTGTATATCTCACAAATTTGGATAACAATAATAGGTATTATATGAGTTAGGGTGTAATGAGGGTTATCTGAGTGGGTTAAATTTTGTTTGTATGACTCATTTTGTTTGTATGACTCATTTCTTAAGAAATGAACATTTAAGAATTTAGGGATAAAGGGCCAAGTGTGTTAATCTTGTATTAAATGGTTGAGAAAAAATATTATGTGTGTGTATAAAAATATATGCAATGCTAAGTCAAACAGAGCAAAACTGATGACCAGTAAATATGGGAAAATACGGGGAAATATGGGGAAAATATCCCGGCATTTATACTACTTTTATGCTTATAACTTTCTTAATTTGAAATTTATTACTCCCCCCCCCCAAAAAAAGGTTTTTTAAATAGTTCCTTTTTAAAATCCCTAAAAATCTTAAAACACTGCAGGGTTTCAAAAAGCATCTCCAGTGCTAATATCTCAAGTTTTTTACTCCCTTCGGAATGAGTCATTCTCAACTCCTAAATGCCTGTGCCCACACATACACACACAAACACACATGCAGACCCCTTAGTGTTATGCCTTGCAACTAGTCTTAGCAGCCACAGCACCTCCTCCAGTTACTCCGACTCGTTCAACTGACCCAGGAGAAGAGGCGCTCACTACACAGCACAGTACTCACAGCTGCCCAGACTATAGATGGGTGGGAAGCGAGATGAGTCCTGTACCCAAACGCACAAGCATGAGGGGAAGGAGCTAAGGGAGAGAAGTGGCACTGAAGTAGACGCACCCCAGGCTACAAGGAACTAAAAGGGGGAAAGAAAGGTCCAGAAAGGCCTCCAAGTTGCCAAGTTCAGAGAGCTCCTAGGACAGACAGGAGAGGGAAATCATGTAGGAGCCAGTCAAGAGCTTAAGTCTGATGTGTTACACAACGGCTTCTGCACACCTAAATGTGCACCCATTAAAAAGGAAGTTGAGGTGTTCAAACAAGGTACCATTTAGACGCAGTTAAGAGACCAGAAGAATTTAGCCAGATGGTGGAGCAAAGAGCACAGGCTTGGGCTTCCCAAAGGCCCTCGAGAGGCCACAAGAACAGTGAGCTAAGAAGAGTCTCCCAGCAGGCTGAGGGACTGGGGTAGAATAATTGCCTTCTAAGATGCCAAGAAGTACAGGCTTGCTTACATCCACTATTTCTCCAGCTCTAACTAATAAACACTGGCCTGTATCTTTCAGCAGGATAACAGCAAATACTCGATTTTCCTACCATTGCTTCAAATAACACTGCTAGGTCAGCAGATGAAATATTACTCTATTTTGGAAATGGGTTTGAAAAACTCAAATTATTTTGCCTTATTAGATTACTAATATTTTAGAACATAGATGATGTAGCTAGAGTTCTTAATCGGGGCCATGGACAATTGTTTACCATGAGAATCCCCAGATTTTATGTGCAAAGTTTTCAATAATATCTACATTTTCTGAAAAGATGAGCTTCAGAACTCAAACATCAAAGGGATCTGTACCCACCCCACCCCCAAGAAAGGATTTTTAGTAATTCTACGGGGTGGGGGGGGGGAGACACCTTATTTTGGTGTTTTTTTACATTAAGTGGAATTTTTTTTTTAAATGAACATGTGATCTACATTATAAGTAATAAGCCCAAGAATTAAAATTTTCTGGCTTATGAACTATAATATTAAAACTATATGGAATCAACAATGCGAAATTTCATACTAAAATGGCGTACAACCAATATAATTTTGCCATGCCAGCACAAATGACAAAATGAATAATCTGAATTTCTTCCTTTAACTAGAACAGAATGCCAAATTCCTACATATTGGCTATTTGTGTGCATTTAAAAAAAAAATCACTGGGCTAGGGCTGACCCACAGGAAGAAGCTGGAGTCTGCCCCAAGAATGAGCCCAGGTGCATGTGGAGCACCTCCACCAGTGCAAACAGGCATCTTGGGTGAACAGTACCCCAAAGGAGGAAGATGTAGGCACCAGAACCGGACTGGACAAAAGACACAGTAAAGGCACACCCAAAAATGCTGGCATGTTTCAAACTACTAGTTTATGTTGTTTCCCCATGAAAGACTTACTGTTTTTTCAGCTGCCTCTGGCCTCTTCTTTTTGGGCTCCCACTCTCAGACCCGCTACTTGCCTTCAGTGTATGAGGGGAGAAATGATTACAGACTTTAATTCACAGTTCTTAGGGACAGCACTGCCTCCTGGTTCAACAACCTGGTCAATACAGCATTATTCAGTTCCAGATAGAAAGAACCCTAAGCACTCATTTGGTGCTGCTCATTCTTCTACTTTGAAATAAATGAATGTGTATCGAACTCGGCAGAACTGTTTTTCTCAGTATGACTTTCAGTAGAGCACAGTCCAAATAAACTTTGTGACAGTAAAAATGGTGTGTATCTGCAAAGTCCAATATAGCAGCCATGAGTCCTGTGAATGTTGAGCACCTGAACCATGCTGATATCAATAAGGAAGAGAAGTTTTCAATTTACTTACTTTTAATTAATATAAGTTTTAAAAGCCACATGTTAGGTGGCAATAACACTGGATATTGCACATCTACAAAATCAAATAAAAATGCCACAGCATTTAGCTGGCATGCCACTGAAGGTGGTGCATGTCCATTCATGTCATCTGAGACTCACAGAAGAGCATGTTCAACCTAATGCTGTACAACAGCACCAGGCCAAAGAAAGTTTATAACCAGACAAATGAACAGCTCTTTTCCTTCCCCAAATTAAGCAAAATGGCTAACTACTCCTCTTGCTGATAAGTCTTGTGCCCCATAGAGAATGTCTTACTTTATATATATAAAAGAGGAAAAGATTTACACAGCTGTTTGACTGCCTAGTACAAACATGGCTTGGTAACCAAGTCCTAGACACTATGGAAAACCAAAGCTTAGGCAAATGAGCTCAGAGGCCACTCAAAACACTATAAATGCAATATGGATATTAAGGACAATTCAATTCTTAAAGCACATTTGCCCACCATGAACTCACTAGCCTTTTGACTATCAATGTTTAACTATCAGAAGGATGTTCTATAACTAAGACCAGCACAGTTCCCCTAAGAATGCAGAAAGGTCACATCTCACTGAGACAAAAGAGCATCTCTTCAGAATGCAGCCTACAAACCTAACACAGAGGTAAGAATCCATAAAATATCACACAGACCAAGAAAGGTAAGAAAAGTCTAATGTTACAGAAACAAGAGAACCCAGTATGTGATACTAATTATAAAAATTACCAATCTATTCAATCTCTCCCAGTTAGATCTGAGAAAAATAATGTGTGACACATGTATACTGCACACTAAAAGTGAGGTAGAAAACCAAATTTAAAGAAATCAGATAAAGTAAAAATGCATTATTTAAATTAAGCAAATTCTCCTTCCTGTCTCAAGAAATTAACATTTGTTTACCAAGCAAGTTACTGTAACAAAATCTAGGAGATTTAGAAACTAAAGAATAAAAAATGTAAAGCTCTTGGTATAATCAATTTCATTATAAAAAACTTAAAACAAAAAAACAAACTTAAATAAAAAGGTTTGCGGTCAGTTCTGTGTAACACTCTAACAGTACCAAGACATTCACTAAAACGTGGTGGGTCTGGTAGGCTTCTTTGTTTAAAGCCATGTGTGCTTTCCCATGCAGGACTGGGTGAGAAAGCTCACGCCAGTGTCCGAAGTCCAGTCTTTTTAATGGTGATACATACCAGAGTTGGAAAGGATGAGGTAAGATAAGGAGTTTGAATGTAGCCCCTTACAACGTTTTTTTTTTTTTTTTCTTACCTCCTCCTTAATATTAAATCGTGATGGTTCTTGTCTGCTTCGGTTTGACCGCCTAACCCCATAAACATCAGGATATTCTTCCCACATCTGTAAAATTAACAGACCATGTATAAATTTTTTTCTCAACCCCCATTTACTATTTTTATTACTGGAACAAGTGTTCTAGCTTAATAGAACCGAAGTAATTATCGAATGGATTGTTTAGTTTTGTCAGATAATGAAGTACCCATCTTTAAAAAAATTAATTATCCCAAAACACAAAATTTAACAATATATCTTCATTACTAAACAATTACTAAATAATACGGCGTGACACTTATCTTTAAAATATAAAGTTGAATATCGGCAAGGTAAGAGAACCACCGCTGGGGAAAGTCTCTAATGACTTCAGTTTTGACTTTGATTGCAAACTGACCCATTTGAGAAACTCAAAAAGCAAGCAAGGCTCCACCACGTCTTACGCAGTAAGAATCTCTTCAGCGCTCCTCAGGACGTGTTTCTGACATGGTCTCCCAGGGTGAGGACCAAGGCTGCCTGCCCTTTCCCTGGCACACCCATCTATGCTATACCAGTACTTAGCACTTCGCTTTCAGTACTTGATTTGGAAACATTCACCAGCGATTAAAAAAATAAAATTTAAAGAAGGGGTGAGGTGAAAATTTTTTCCACAATAATGAATAACATCTTATAAAAATTCACACAAACAAATGCAGAGAAAAAGGTCCCTCTTTCCTCAACCCCTAAATGATTAGACTGACCCCCAGCCTCACTCTCCTTCCCACCGAGAACTAAGTATACTGTCTGCTCTTTTCATGAAATCCATCACATACAGGCAAAAATGAACTAGAACAGACTGTGGAACACTCAAGTGAAGATGTTTAACAAGAGTTAAACATGTAGCAGAGATGCTTGGCAGCCAAGATTAGAAATGTGGGTTTGTCATTAAAACACAGGTTGACAGCTAACATTATGAAAATATTTGGAAAGTGAGGCAACAGGAGACGCCACAGGCTGAGACCAGTGAAATGTATGGGAAGTAGACCCCCCACCAAAAAAAGACAAAACTGATGAAAGACAACCCAGAGAAATACAAACTAATAAGCCAAAAGAGGACATTATCAAAAAAAAACCCAGTTAAGCTGAAGAAAAACAAGGACTCAAATGAAAACAAGCAAGATGTCCCAGGAATAGGCATTTTAGAACTGGAATCCAAAGCAATCATGTCATCCTGTGTTCTCAGTTTAAAAAGGTGTAAAATCCATAATCTGAGTCAGAAGACAAAAAGCCCAACCAAAAGGGTTAGAATAAATGAGTGGTAGGAAATACAGGCAAAGAGGCAACGAATGCAGAGCATGCTTAACACATCTGGGGAAGAAAGGAAGGAGGCAGAGCTTTCTTATAGTCCCATCTGTCAACCCCACCTCCACCCATCCTGGATCTCTGCTAAAGTGACAAAATTACTTCACTCAACACAAGTATTTATGGAGCCTTTATTAACTGGGATGGCTAAATTATTTTTATGTCACTACAGCAATTAATTTTATTGTTTTAAAATATTACGCATTCAGGTCAAGTATTGGACTTCATGACAGTTCCATCCTAGTGCTTACATCCTAAAGTCATCTTGTGTTCTTCTGTCCTTTTGAGAACTGATGATATTTAATTTCCCAATGAAAAAGCAACCATGTAAAAGGGACATGTGTACAGAAAATAAAAAACTTCCTTTATAAGTTCCCATTTTAGAATAATCATTAAAATCACAATACCATCATTATAATTGGCAGGTAGGTCTAGCTACAAGTTAATTAACTTTTTGATAAGGAAAAAGAGGGAAGGAAGCACAGTGGATTATGGGGAGGACTATGGGTGAGTTTGGTGGTAGATGCACTACAGTGGCAATATCTGATGGGGTATTCTAATATTATTGCAATAAAAAATTAATAATAAAAATGTTTATAAGTTAACTTTTTGGAGTTAAACACCTTTACATTTCTATATGTCTGCCTAAAGCTATATTTTTATCATAAAATTAAATCTTAGTCATGCTTCTCCTTTTGTCTTAGTTCCCCTTTGTCTTTTTAAATAAACTTAAAGCTACACAGTCTTAGAGTGAACATTTGTGAATCCTGGTCAACACAGTTCAATAGTTTTGAACATGCTATGCAAGTTATGGTTGCTATGGTTTCCTTCAACCCCTACAAGTAAAAAACTCTGCACTGTAAAAAAGAAAGTTATACCCAGACTTATTTTTGTCTCTTATACTTCACTCAAAAATGTGTCGTGGACTTCTAGAAAGAGCACCTGGTCCAGATGCACAGAAGGAACCTCAGAGCTGACTCTGAGGACAGCTGGGCAAGGCCAACTGCCAGGTACCTGGGGGTAGTTTCTGAGTTTAAAGACCTCATAGAGCAAGATGTGTAGATGGCATTTCTACATGCAGGGGCTTTGGGAAGACGTCATCACTTGAATGATCTCCCATAAAAGCTCTACCACATACAGAATGGGTATCCAGGAACAATACCTGAGGGTCTGAAGGTCATGGCTCTAGTAATGAGTCAACTGGCAAAGCCAACTTTTATCTCCCTATCACTAAGAAAACCACCTCTGCCTTCTGACTAGTTCCTGAGGGTCACTTCCAGGAAACAATGACTACACTTGAAACAGAAGAATTAAAATGGCATACTTATTTCCAAGTCTGTCTCAAGAGTTAAATAAACTTCCATGTTTTGTTTTTTCTAATTTCAGGTTTGTTGAAGGTAACTTACAGACAATTTAAAATCATTTGTAGGGCCTCCCCAGTGGCGCAGTGGTTGAGCGCTGGGTTGCCCACAGCCTCTGCAGCGCTGGTTCGATCCCAGGCTGCTCCCCAGCCACCGGAGGAGGGTCCCACATGGCGCGCAGACCTCTCCTGCCGCCCGCTGCTCCCCTCAGCAGTGTCCTTCGGTCCTTCTGCCTGCTCTGCTCCCCGCTCTGGCTCTCATGAATTCTCTCACCCTCCCGTGCTTCTGACTGTACCCAGTGCTTGTATAAATAAATAAATAAATCTTAAAATATATATATATTATTAAAAAAATAAAATAAAATCATTTGTACTATGAAAATCAGTATGCAGATGTAGATTTGTATCTTAGAATGAAACTGATTGATCATAAAACCTTTAATTTCACTTATTTTATTTTTAAATTCCTAAAAGCAATATTCCTTGGCATCAGTGATTCAAATACAATTCTCTCAAAATGGAATTTTAAAAGATCAGCTGCATTCTTATGATTTCTTATAGCAACTCATTAATTTTTCACCGAAAAGAATGTGCATTACGAAGTTCAAGCATCAATGGAAAAAGGATATGGCAACTCATTTTTACCTTTTTTGCATTTTTTTGCCAGGAGTCTTTGCTGTTAAATAAAGAACACCTACATGGCCTAGGGGTAAATGTTTTTACTGTGGGGAGTATTTCTTTCACTGTCATCTGTCAATGACTCTAATATTTTTCAGTATTCAGTATTTTTCAGTATTGCATAAAAAAATAATTTTAACCACCTTTTATAAATGTTAAAAACCCAAATTATAAATATTTGTCTTTCTACCCTATACTCTGATGCTTCCAGTGGAAGCCATAGTTACCATACCAGTAAACAGAACAGAAAGCGGTCCATATTTCTATCCACAGAGAGTGCATTATCAGAAAAGGTGACTGTAGTTTCATCATCAAGGTACACTAATGAGTTTTGCATGGGAAATAAAAGATCTGCTAGCTGGGCCAGCTAGCAGCACATTCGTATGGCACAGATGTAATACCTTCTTCACATCAGCTATCCGTTCCTTCTTGGAGGCTGGCTTCTCTTTGGCTTCTGGAAGAACTGGCTGGGATTTGGAACCTGCTGATTCACTTTCAGATTCAGACTGACTCTCTGAAGATTCAGAACTGCTATTCGACTCGCTGCCATGTCCGCTTCCTGGATCGCTGCCCTGCTCACTTTCCGACTGGCTGCCCGAGTCTGAACCTGAAGCTTCTTCAGATGCTGAATGACTTAATTCAAAAAAAATTTTTAATTGATTTAAAAGAGATTTAAAAACTGCCAAATAAATCTGTTAAAACATTTTTTAGTAAAATGACAATTGTAATTTTATTTACACAAGATCAACATTTTCAAATCCACTTTCATATTCTTATATTGTGAATAATGTCATTACCATCATTCTCAACTCCTCAGTTTCAACCATTCCCTGAGACTATAATGCCAGATACCAGTTAATTTGTACAGAGTGACTCTTTTACAAAAACTCAGAAAAAGAACATTACTGTCCCATTCAGATGAGGAAAACTAAACCTCAGAACGTGTAACTCTCCCAATATGTCACCGGATTTGCAACCAGATCAATCTGATCCGTCTGAATCCACCAACCCTTGTTTTTATTTGTTCAGTATTTGCCCTCATCGAGACAAAAAAGAAAAAAACAAAAACAAAAAAACACAGAAAACGAAACAAGGCAGTTACCCAAAGACTAAGGATACAAACTGGGTGCAATTATCCAGTCAGTGGTCCTCAGCAACAGGTGAGCTATATAAAAACATTAACCCCAACCCAGAGCCCTGGTCTTGGAATCTCCTGCAGTGAGTCTTAGTCCAGATAGAGCAGAAAAAATAACCCCTCCTCCTCATTCCAAACAGACCTCAGGGAGGAGTGAGCTAAAGTGGGTAGGTGCCAGAGGAAACCACAAAAGAGAAATGCCAGAAAGCTGTGGAAAGAAAGGCAGTCTATCAACCTCGGCTGCAGAGAAGCCAATGGACCGTCTTCCTGCTCTATAGTGAACAGGCAACTGAGGTCTCACTGGGAAGAATAAAGAAATTTTAGAGACCTACAGTTGACAGAAAAGCAGGTGAAAAGCTCACAACTGTTGATTGAAAACAAGCTTGTCACTTAGGAGAGTGGCAAGTAGCAGGATTTAAGTAATTTAAGTAATATTATCTTCACATAAAGGTGCTTACATTTACCAACCAGAAGGCATCCCATGAAGGCCACAGGCCAATTTAATACCACTGCATTTCCCAAACTAGAAATGAAGTCACCCCCTACCCCCTTCACAAACATGGCCACAGAATGAATAAGCAGTACACTGGAAACTCCAGGATGGAAACCCAAAATCCAGGACCCTTTTCATTAAGATGAGGAAACAATGAGAATAAACAGGGGCAAAGGATGTCTCCACCTATGGAGGGGAGAAGAGAAAAAAAAAATATTTACTAACTGCATGATAACTTCATAGGTGCCTGGTGTTGAAGTACTTGTGTGCATTCTTTTTTTTGCTGTTTGTTTTTGGGGTTTTTTTAATATATATAAATTTTTTTTTAATTTTTATATTCCCCATACAATTGCGACCACCTTATATTGACCCCAAAACATACCTACTACACATTATCATGTGAGTGTGAAAGGTGAAAAAAATTCAGATGTTTTAAGTAACTTGGTCAATGACAAAACTAGAAAGTGGGGGACTGGGGTGGAGGGTTGGGATTCCACCCCAAATCTGGGCCTGTTAGGGGGAAAAGGATGTCCTAAAGCTAATTCCATACAGGCTTTGTGGACTCCACCCCCACCCCAGGCCAAAGCCAAAGACACTGGGAACTCCAAATCCCATCCCCACCAAAGTGAAGGTGGCTGGGACCAGAGGGTGGGGTTAAGCAGCCAAGTGAGTATAAAGACAGCCACGTGGGCTTTGAGGGGCCCCCATTTTGGCTCTCGGCCAGCTAGCAGCTTCCGGCCAGCTCTGAGAGTGACTTTGGGTTTCCAGGTCGGCAGATCGGGTAGGACGCATTAAAGACTTTATTTCCCTATTTTCTCCCTGAGTTGTACATTTTCCTTATTTCCTTTTCCCTTGTAAATAAACCTTTTATTAACCTTTTGTGTGTGCCTGCAGTGGAGTATTCATAAGTCCCTTTAAAGCGCGCGGGTGAGGACCCACAGCCAGGAACACGTTCAATACCGGGGCTGACCTTTAACAGGCCTAAAGCCCATATTCTTATTTTGTCACAGGACAGCTCAAAACCTTGGAGACACAGAAAATAAATCTTATCTGTGTTACACACCATCCAAGGCCAGTCCACACACTGACTCACCACAGCTCCCTCAGCCTGGCGGCCAAGCTGCCCAGCTCACCAGGGTATCATCAGTCGCTTATTCTCCTCTGTGACCAAGCAGCAGGCAGTCACCAGGCAAGAGAAAAGGAGGGCAGGCTTGCACAGTGAGAAGGGCAGCCCAACTCCCAAGGCTGTGTCTGTGACACCATCTGTAGCATCAGAAGAGCATCAAATGACAGCGATGAAGGCAGTGCGCCAAGATGCAAAAGCCTCACCCGATATTTAAAGAAATGGCATTATTTCACATCTGCACTCATGCCTCCTCTGGCACACGCCAGTGAAGATCGAGTACTTTACATCAAAAGCGGGAATTTATTGGTTTTACCTCCACAGTTTGTTCACAGAAAGGTAGAGCCAGCAGCTACAGAATTTCCTGGAAAGTTAGGGATCTGCAAGGGCAGGTCTACAGGGAGGGTGGGGTGTAGAATTTACATATTTACATAGCAAAAGCCAGTGATGTTTGCCCAGGCATGAATAGGGAGCTCAGGCCACCCACCTCCTCCCAGTCACCCCAAGCTACAGCCTACGCCCTATGAAACCTGACCTCCAACCACTCCTTCCCAGGACCCGCTGCTGGGTACTCTGGCCATACTCCACCTGCACCATAAGAAGGCCCAGCATTGTTCGCCTCCAACCTCTGCCTACACATCAGGCTCGAATCCTCTCTAACTCATCACCCTCTCACCTTCTCTAAAGTTTCACCCACCATGCTCCACTGGTTCTCCTTACCCTCAGCAGCAACAAACCCCCTGGCCTAGAAGACTTTTGGAGAGCACACTATCTTTTCAAAAACTTTAAAACGGTTTAATATTTTAACTCCAGTCAATCATTCTTAACTCCAGAAAAGAGATTATAGATGGAATATATTCTGGCAATCACCAGCAATTAAAATTGTCACAGGAGGGCCTCCCCGGTGGCGCAGTGGTAGAGCGCTGGGTTGCGAAGCTGCCCGCGGCCTCTGCAGCGCCAGTTCAATCCCCGGCTGCTCCCCGGCCACCGGAGGAGGGTCCCACATGGTGCGCAGACCTCTCCTGCCGCCCGCTGCTCCCCTCAGCAGTGTACTTCGGTCCTTCTGCCTGCTCTGCTCCCCGCTCTGGCTCTGGTGAATTCTCTCACCCTCCCGCGCTTCTGACTGTACCCAGTGCATGTATAAACAAAACAAACAAACAAGCAAACAAATAAATAAAGAAAAACATGCCTCTATTAAAAAAAAAAAAAAATTGTCACAGGACCCTATAGCATGGTACATACACTCCCAAGAAACTGAAAATATTCCATGAGTATCTTCAACTACCTACTTAAACGAACTAGAAAGTAACAAAAATCTGCATTTGTCTTCTGCAGAAAACTACAGCCACCGGATTAGCTAGAAATCCTTCCAATGTTTGCACTGAAAAGCAGTCACTGCTGAAATGATGGAAACATCCCAAGTGCAGCACCCATGTCAGGGGGTCAGGATGTGTGCAGATTCATGAGCATCGTGCTCCCTCTCATGCTCCCAAGATATGAATACACTACACTGAACCTGCCCCCCATTAATGGTATGTTATTATTTAAATTGTTCTCTTAACCAATAAGTACCCAAGATATACGTCCATATTTCTGTATTTCTCAGCATATTTAAGTTTCCAAATCATTCACTATAATCAGTAAAACCATATACATGCCTGTATACATCTTCTCTGTTTATGCAAGAGAGGGTCCCCTAGAAATTTAACAATGCACACGGTCTTTCAGGTACAAACACAACCATATGTCTATCAGCACATGTCCATGTGCATAAACACATTTTAATCAAATTGTTAACAGTGGTTTATTCTGTTGGGGGGTTAAGTGTACTAGGCAAACTACTTCTGTAATTCCACCCCCTGAAAAAAATTTCAGAAACTATGAAAATTAAACCCAAATTAAACCAAATAAACACCAAATTCAGTCTCCCTCTGTGGGCTGAGGGAGACAGACATGATCAGAAACTAATATTGGTGCTGTTTTTATGGCTGAAGCTGAATGATATGTCCAAAATTGTTCATTACATAAGCATTAAATCTTTTTACTATTTAAGATGGTTCAGAATTAATCAAATGATTCAAATCCAAGGAATATAAACCACCAGGCAAGCCTACATTAAAAAAAAAAAAAACTAATTGGGGCCTCCCTGGTGGCACAGGAGTTAAGTCTCAGCACTGTGATGCTATACTGCTGCACAAGTTCAATCCCCATTCAGGAAGGTGATCCACATGGCGCAGCAGACTTTGCCTGTCTCACCCGCCACTCCCCTCAGCAGTGTATCTCAGTAGATTTGCCTGTTCTGCTCCCCACTCTGTCTCTGTTGAATCCTCTCACCCTCCCCGCTTCTAGTCTGTACCCCAGCTCTTGTATGCACATCTTCAAAAATAAATAAATAAATAAATGAAATCATTTGAATGACAATAACACTAATATTTTTTAATTATTTTTGGAACAAGCAAGTCAGATTTAATGGACTTAAAATAATATTTTGGGGGTCAGAAGTTTTTTTTTTTTTTAGAGCCCTGATAAAGATATATCCTGATAAAGACAAATGTTAAAATGAAATGGGAATTTTTTTTAAGAAACTATAAATACCTCCACAATCAAGGCATTCAATGACAGTCTAACTGTCCCTAAAAAGGACACTATTTCTCAAAATATGATGCACATTTGCTATTAATATGTAATTATGACACAAATACTATTAATACTAGATAATTAATTTTAGAAGATGTTAAAAGCCCACAAAAATGATAAAAGGGCAATCAAGTTACTGGGTGAGGAGTCCTTTAGGCTTCACCTTAACAAGAAAGTAATAAAACTAGCTGATTCCCAATGGCATAGTAAGGCAATTTAAAATGGGATTTTCAGGGATGTTACTC